AAGGTATGCCTGTAATTTACATACATATATGTGGAGGATTCAAGAATGATGGACTGCATGTATAATGATTTTTTTTTCTAAATGAATTGTGACAATTTTTGTAATTCTACTTTATTATTGTGTTCAGAATTGCATTAAATTTGACTAAGCATTGGCTTAAACTTTCTGGTAGAGGCCAATTTCTTCCAGTACCATTTTTTAAAAAATATATCATATACTATCTTACCATTATTTCACCGTACTGTAACAGAAATGGGGGGGGGGGTGTCATTCCCCATTTTCAAAAGGTGAGTTATTTCCCCTGAAGGGAACTCTTTTACTGTGTTTAATACGCATGCGCTATAAATAAAGTCACTTCCGCGGACGTTCTTGATGTAAACATGTTCATGGTGTAATAGCCTAGTACCCGAGGCCTTCCGAGTGCTTGGAAGGCCTCGGGTACTAGGCAACATGGTGTAATGCCTCTGTCATATGGAAAAATGTTATTGTGTTTGTGAATAAAAAGAAATCTTAACTGATTCGTATTTTTTTTAAATTGCCCACTCATAGTCTCTTTCTGGATTTGTATTAATCAGTGTAGTACTATAATAAGGCCACCCCCCCCCCCCCTTACAAAAAAAAAAAAAAAAAAAAACGAAACAAATTACTGATAAATGCTGATACATATTCGAATAGGCCTATTTAAAATAAAAATTTTAAAAAAAAAATCTAATAAGCTAATTTTCGGTAGTTGATGTTCTACAGACGGATCATCATTATTTACAAATTGTGCAGAACAAATTTTTAGTTATAAAGTTTTTACGAATTAATCTAGCCTGCTGCAGCCATATTTTCTTTGTATCTCTAGGAATTTTTTGGAGACTGATGACATGTCCATCTACAGTTTTACCTCTGAATTTGCTGCATATACAGCAGTAGTTCGTCTTCCGCAACCGATATCAAGAAACTGCGTTTTTGCTCGATTGTATGTCATAACAAAGAACTTTTACTTACAAGAACACATTTGGTGATGTAAAATAATAGTCCCTGCCTACCAACCATTCTTTTTTTTTCTTTTTCTTTTTTTGGAGGAACCACACATTTTTTTTTCTTGGCCTTAGCTTTAATTTCCACATGTCAAGTTTCTGCTTTATTTTGATTACAATAAATTGTGAATTATTATATACATATGGTGTTATATTTTATTGGGAGATTACACACTTTTATCATTTGTCAGTATTTCTTAAAAAGGACTTCAAAGTTATACTTTGAAAGGAATTGTTGAATTGTACTTTGGAATGAAACACAGAGCTATTTTACACATTAAAATGTTTTGAGAGGATGATGAAGCTCATGCAGTATATCCATTAAATATTGTTATGAACTGACCAAAAAGATCAGCGGCTTCATTTATATTTGATGGTCTTTGGTGATTTGGCAAAATTAAGTTTGCAAGTTCTAAGAATTCTCCTGAACAGCCATGCATTGGGCGGTCTTCCCCGTAGTGTTCTTGACAGTAAATTATGTCCTCGGGATGGCAGTCGATTTTAAAATTTTGAGCACCGTATGATTCTGGAGTAAAAAATAATACATCAGGCTTTCCTTTTGGACTATTAGATTCTTTTTTAACTTGCATTCTGTGTTGATTCCATTGAATTACAATTTGATGAAGTTCCTCCTGAAGAACAGCCATAAAGCAGTATCTTAAACACTCAATATGCAAGTGGTCACCATCATTAAAAACATTAGTGTCACGTAAATCTTTAAAGAATGTGATCCACCAATCTGCCGCTTGCCGGCGTAAAATGCTCCACCAGGCCTCGATTCGTTGATTAGAAGTGCTTTTTCCGTATAAAAAGCAGTTACCATAATCCTGGTCTTGAAGACTATGCAACAGAACTTGTATTTCTTCCAACTCCTTGTTTTCCGTGCCGAGGTCACATCTACATACATTTGGACAACATCCTAATTGTTGCACAGTATCTAAAAAATATCTTGAAATAATTTTAGGATTGTTGTTGCTGGGTCCCACCTCCAACCACAAAATTCTTCGGGAGAAACCATCAATTGCGCCGTGTACGGCAAATCCAAAAGGTTTCAATTTGTCATATCCGTCGATATGCCAAATAAAATTTGGTCCAGGTGCAGCATACTGTCGCCTAAGTAATCGACGGTGCTTCCGTCTTTCTACTCCGTCTGGATCTATTATTCGCATCAGTTCCATGATTTTAGCACGCTGAACTACGAAACCGTAATCGGTTATCAAACGTTTCCATATTGCTCGATATCCTAGACATTGTCCACTGTTCTCTGTAATGTCCAAAATTGCATTCACAATATGAAAAAGGTCAACATCACCAGGACGACGCTTCAACCCTAAATTTCGCAATATGCGTTTCAAGTGAGATTTGCTGATTTTTACTTTATGAACGGTTCTGATCAGTTGTAAAATCTCTGTATTGGTGTACCCTTGTTGAAAATATCTTGTCACAAGCTCTTCCTTGGGAATATTATTAGGAGTCAGTGCCGGGGTGTATCTCGGCAACACCATAATGACCTGAAATTACAGTTTTTCAGTTGTATAATCATACATACTTTTTATATGTACTGTTATTTTTAGCTGGATGGAAATATAATTTTTGTAGGATTTTATTTTTTAAACATGGGCATCGAAAGCAATTTGAAAGGGGGGGGGGGCTAATTGAAATCGCTAAACCAACAGAAAAAGGTACCCCAATTTTCAATCCCTATATAATGTATATTTTTGCAAAAAAGAGGGAGGGTTGGGTGGGCTAACCCCACCCCACCTCTCTCCCATTTAGCAGGGTAATGTTAAAAATATCATTAACTATTCGGAACACCTAGCAATTTCTTTTCACCATATGAAAAGTACCGTTGTGTTCCAAAAAAAGTCATGAATATTCATAATGCAGCTAAGTAAAAGTTATATAGATAAGAAATGTTTTATTACTAATTCAGTGCCCAAATGAGCATACATTTGTTTATAAAAGGAGACGGTTAAGATATCCTCGATTCCATTTCAATTTAGGATATGTATTGTGAGTTCATCCGATCAAAAATGTTATTCAAGAAAGTACAGGATATTTTGATTGTATAAATTTGATAGGCAACAAGCGAATTCAAAGAATTGTGTTCCTCCGCTTTTGTGAGATGTCATTTTAATACCCCGCTTGAAAAGTGAGAGGGTACACTGTAATCGGTATGTCCGTCCGTCTATCCGTCTGTTACGCTTTGGGGTAACCATCGCTTGTCCACAACTCGTCTTATTCCACTGAGTGAAATTTAATAAAACTTTCACAGAATCTTGATTACATATTGCCATTGTTCACCTCCTAATTTACTTTTTGATCCGACACATATTTTGGGTTTACCGGCCACAGCAAAACATGGACTTTGCCACTATAATCATATGGAAGGCGGGGGGTACATGTATTATTAGTGAGTTCATTGCTCACAGTACCTCTAGTTTATGACATATTGTCTCAAATATGAACGCCCTATCATATGTCATTTAGAAATTTAAAAACCAATCCTGAAGGTCAAGGTCAAAAGGTCACAAATCAAAGCATGCTTGGAAATATTTTGTCACAGATAATGTACATGTTAAATATGAAAGCCATATCTCTTCTCAATATAAGGAACAAGATGTGTTTCTGAAATACCGAGGACACTTATGGCAATCTAGCGAAGATTAAACTTTTCTGAAATGCAAATTAAATATATATATATTACCCAAAGATTTTTTTTATATAAAAAGGAGGTCAAACGTCAAGTTCTTGAAATCCAATGAAAAGGTCCTGTTAAAAGGATTAAATATGTGAAACATGAAAGCCTTAGCCCTTTAAAAGTTATGGTCAAGGTTTGTTTTTTAAAAGTTAGTTACACTCCAAGGTCAAAAGGTGAAAGTTCTTTGTATCCAATATGAAGGGTCTTCTCACAAGAATTACATACATATGTGAAGTATGAAAGCCCTACCGTTCGCGAGTTATCGCCAAGGTTAAAGGTTTTTTACAAGTACAGAAATTTCCAAGGTCAATAGGTCAAGGTTATGGGTATCCAATGAAAGGCCTTGCCACAAGAAATACATATGTGAAATATGAAAGTCCTAGTATTTACCATTCAACAGTCATGGCCAAAGTAAAAGTTCAGAATTTTTGTGTAAAAGTGGGTCAAACTCCAAGGTCATATTTAGAGGTACCCAAAGAAAGGTCTTGTCACAAAGAATACACATATGAAATATGTAAGTCATAGCTCCACTAAATCAAAAGATATGGGCAATGTTCAAGTTTTTGTGACGGACGGAGAGACTGACGGAGAGACAGACATATACGAATGAGATTTAATGTCCCCTCGCTTTCGCGAAATCATCTTCGCTAGGCAAGGGTTTTCGGTCCACTCCGCTCCCCATAAATGGAGAGGGGAGTGGACCGAAAACCCTTTGCTAGCGAAGATGATTTCGCAAAAGCGAGGGGGCAAAAATATGAGGGCTTGTGCAACCCACTCCCCCCTTTTCTGGCACTTTCTACGGACCAGGCTTCAAGCAGATAATGCATATAACAAAGAACCCTTTTGTTATCTGGAATTCATAATAATACCCAGCAACAGCTGTAGCTATTTTTAATTTACCAGAACACGTGTTTGAATCTTTAATTTATAATCTTACGTGAGACGTGTGCTGTACTGGGTGTATCCTTAATGTCTACTGTAAATAAACGGTTCGAATTAAAGGCTCACATACAAGAAGAAAAGCACTGTCTTTGCCCTATTTCTATCACATATTTGCAACATCCTATCTACATGTACGTATATACTCTTACCTTTAAATTAATATGGCCACTCTTTACATTCTGAATTCTGATTCAGATATTACATTGTCTCTCATTGGCTTTTAAAACGGGTATTGTTACCTGTATTTCGATTGGTTAGTTTAGATATTGAATGTCGAATCTCGAATTTCGAATCTTGAATCTCGTACCTCGAATCTCGAATCTCGAATTCTGAATCTCGTATTTCGAATCTCGAATCACCATAAACAAATTTTTCACTCGCCATGATGAAAACATGTGAATAATACAATTAAAACAAGGAACTAACACTCATTAGTGTTATGTTTTTATTAAAGAAAAGATTACTAATTATTGTGATAGAAATCTTTTGCTTGTTGAAGGAAATATTTTTATTAGTTACAACACCCTTGTGGTTGTAATACATAATAGTACATGTACACAGAAGAACACAAGTAATCTGAGTGATCCTAGAATTAGTTTAATCAAAAGAAAAATAAAACTTTGACAGTTGTTGAGACAGGACTTTGCCAATTGTTTATCATGTTTACTTACTACTATGTATCTTACCCATTACACAGTCGTTATGAATGCTGCCAAAACAATTAATTGTGATATGCAAGCCGTTGACCAAATGCTTTAATAGCAAGGTCAGAGAAACTCTAGAAAGTTTACGATGTTTGGATGTCATTCTATCAGGGACGTTATGTATATACGTTTCTGGTTCTATCAAACTTCACTATTACAGCATTCTGTCATAGCATTACGTGATCTAAGTCCATGCGATGCTTTTTAAAGTGTGTTAAAGAATATATCTTTAAACGTTGTCTTGATAGAGAATCTTGAAAATGTAAATCTTGATCCCGATCAGAAAAAGATGGACATTGTCAGCCCAAATTTTCTCAGTCGCGAAAATGCGACTTATTTTAAATTTCTAGTTGTAAAATCAATTTTTTGGTCGCAAATGCTACCATTTTAGTCGCAACTTGGAGCACTGCTTTGTGGACCTTACAACAAATTTTTATTTCAAAGCGGTATTTTTGTTAGTTGAAGTGGTTAATTTGGCTGGTTGCCGGTTCTTAGGGAAAACACTGTTGGAATTCAATTTGAAATTACATGAAAAGTAGTCCAGATACCTATATCGAATTTAATATCATTTTAAAGAAGAGGCCATGAACATACAAATTACCATTTTCTAATAGACTGTAGGCAATCTGGATACATTTTCTTTGTCTGAATTGGAAAAAAACTCCCATAATCACTACAGCTTTTCTTAAATTTTCATTGGAAATGACAGTGTAAAATATATTTCATCTTGTTTACCTATAAATTATGCCCCGAAACACCTTATTTGACCTAGCTAAAGTAATAAAGCATCATTGAAGGAATTTATTTTTAAATTTGATAAAACTGTAGGCACCTTTCATTTACTAGATCTTGACCTTAATAGATGTACTATCTGTATATTCCTTAATAAAAAAGGTATTGCAACAGAGAATTTGATGATGAAAAGATTCTGATTCAGCATCAGAAAGCCAAGCATTTTAAATGCCACATATGTCACAAAAAGCTCTACATAGGACCTGGATTGTCCATTCACTGCATGCAGGTAATCCTCACAATATCACGTTAAATTGTGACACTCGAAATGGTGAGGTGAATTGAAATTGAGTTTGTCATAAATAAGGTTCAGGAATACTTGATCAGAACATTGTTTTGGGGGTGGGGAGGGAAAAGGATGTAGGGTCATGTGTTCTTTAGGAACACAAAGGTCAGAATGATATATGCATAGCACAGGTAATTCATCATTATGCTAGCAATGTAGTCTCAGAACTACATGTATGTTTGCTGTTAGAGACTTACAGTTCACCAAAAATGTAAAACGTTTGTTTGTTGAATGACTTGAAAAATGTCTTGATAATGGTTCATATGGAAAACAGAGAAAAAATATTGAGCTTGACAAATTTTTGAATTCTTACTAGGTTCACAAAGAAAAAATAGATAAAGTGCCAAATTCGCTGCCAGGGAGAAATAACTGTGAAATAGAAATCTACGGAATGGAGGGAATTCCAGAGGAAGATATAAAAGCACATGAAAAACAGAAGCAGGGGAATGAAGGAGGTAAAAAACAGAATCTTACTACTACAGAGATAAGTAAATATGGGTTATTGGATCTTGTTGTGTTTCAAGACATGGTACAACTATGGCTCTATTTCATTTGAAAGAATAGTTTGCTAAATAAATTTGAAGATTCAGTAACTTTGCTGGGATTAGAAGTTTTATTTTCTATTTGATTGGAAGGTTCAGTATCGTTGCTGCGATTAGAAGTCGTGTTTTCTAATTGATTGGAAGATTCAGTAACTTTGCTAGGATTAGAAGTCGGGTTTTCTATTTTTAGAGCCTCCCGGTAAGAAGTTGAAGGAAGATACAGACAGTAATGATGGAATGCCTGGTCCCTCAGGCAATCAAAACCCCCAGGTACCCCCACCGTACGGCATGAACAGAATGCCAATGCCTCCTGGTAATATGCCTTATGGCATGCCTCCCATGCCCCCTATGGGGCCTCCTGGGCCTATGGGTCCAGGTCCAATGATGGGACCAATGGGTCCTATGGGGCCAATGGGCCCTATGCCACCAATGGGTAAGTTATTACTTTTGAATTTGATCTTGTGTTGAAATTCCCTCTGAGCAACAATTTAAAATGAGTTTATAGACAATAAGCTTTTGAGAATCAGAAATATTTTTAAACCACCCCTGATATCAAAATCACAGATTTGATTTATAATCAGGTAGAGCTTTTAAAATTTTTTGTTTTTTTTCACTCCTTTTCCTTGGTGAATATATCATTAAATAATTTTGCACAACCATAATTTTATATTTTCCTCCTTTTTTGCAGGACCAATGGGACCTATGGGGTAAGAAATAATTTATTTTGAAAATCTGAGATTTAATACTCAGCAATTGTTGATAAATATGTAAGTAATAAATTAGAGAATTGAATAAACAAGGAGTATCCTTTATGATATCTTTGCAGTATGCCCCCTATGCCTGGGATGCCTCCACGCCCTAACTTTATGCCCAATGGACCTCCATCCACTATGCCCGGGACCATGCCTGATGAGTACGCAGAGTGGACCCGCAAACCACTATTTCCCTCAGCACAGGTCAGAAATTATGCCAAAGTTACTGTTGAGCTTCAGGCTACATACCAAACTTTAATGACGTTGTCTTAGAAAGTTTTATTTTATGTTAAGCAAAAAATATAGAAATACCTGGTATTATATGATCTGGAAAATACTGTAAATGTATTATATTTAGCGTGTACGATATTTGGCGGAAATTGATTTTATATATGCCCGTCTTAAGACTTGACGTATTATGTTATAGACTTCGTGTCGGTCCGTCTGTCTGTTAGCTTTTTCGTTTCCGGCTCATAACTTTAATACTATTAGTCCTAGGATTATCAAACTTTGTCATCTGATGCATCTTGGGTAGAAGGTGTGTCACGCACAAAAAGTAGGTCGCTCTGACCTTTTATTAAGAAGTTATAGCCAAATATGGAAAAATCCCATAAGTAGAAAACTACAAGACTTACAATCATCAAACTTGACCAGTTTATGCATCTTAGGCAGAAGGTGTGTCGCGACCTATTTCAAAGTCACTGTGACCTTTAATTTAAGTGAAATTTAAAAAAAAAATGTGTCTTTTTACTATTCATTTAAGTATCCCAAATAATGTAAGAGTATTGCACTGTCCTTATTAAAAAAGTGTTAAATCAAGAATACATGTACTTATTTTTTTAAGCATATACTTGACAGCAATCTATAACAAATATAATGTATGTTAGAGAAATCCTACCTCTCCCTTGAGTGTAATTATCAAGCACTGGTCAAGAAGAATTTTGATAACAGAAAATTGCATGTCAAATTAGGGAGAAATTAATGAGTTTTAAGTGTGAGGAGGTAACTGATAGAGCATTGGTGTTATCTATATCCCTTGGGTATTGGGCAGATGGGTAAGCCTGTTGGATTAAAAATAGCTCTTGTTGGCTAGCCTAAGTTTTAAGATTTGATGAAAAGTAATTACGCTAAAACTAATTTGATATTGCATAATAGACTAATCTGATATTATATGATATTATTAATTTAAAAACTAATTTTATGGGGTGGGATGGAATCAGCATGTCCATATGAATTACATATTAAAACCTGTGGGACATTAAATCTCAACCAAAAAAAATCTTTGAATATTTTATATGTTTAAAAAAAAAAGAATTATGGTAGATATTGCAGACCCATTCATCTCTTGGTAGTAATGAGTAGACAAGCATCCAGTTAAAGATTAATTAATGAGTTCATTGTAGGAAGGCCAGCTGTCTCAATCACTTTGATCAAGCAGTCTTATCTGTATCCTTTGGGGATTAGACAGAAGAAGTGCTGGTCAGTTTATAGCATATGTCATTTGATGGCCAGCTTTTTCTTTTCAAAATTAATTTGGTATAGATTAAGGTGTTCAGACTAATTTGATATTGTTTAATATGATGGGCATTTGACAAGGTCTCACACAACCAGCATAGAAATTTATTAATGATGTAATATTTATTATAATTAATGCCTACATCACAGGGAATGGATAAATATTTGAAGGAATGGAAAATCATGGAAATCTTAGAATCAAGGTTGATGTGATTTTCTTGCATGCTAAACTGTTCAAGAAAATTGTATTTTTTAGCAATGTGGCGCCCTCTAGATGCAATACCTGTTCATCAAGAACAGACAACTGATAAAAGAAATGTTTTTCCAGATGCATTATGGTCCTGTTCATGTTCTTCACCCTATAGCTATAGTTCTGCTAGACACGTATTACAGGTGACGCAAATATACTTCATTTAAATGGTCTCATATATGGGAACAATGAAAATCCTTCAACTCTCAACAGAATTTCATAAATATATATATTATTGCCATTAACGATGGGCCAGATGTAATAAAGAGTTTTTAGACATTTTGTCATAATAGATTAAATGTACCAGATCCATGTTACAACCACATAAAGATTGAGAGGCAATATGAAAACCATCTAAATTACTGTATTCAATTATCCAGAAGTGAAAGAAGAATTACATGATCAGTATATGGTCCCTGCTGACAAAGCAGCTTAAACATTTTCTTCGTCTGTGAGGCTCATTATATAAAGGGCTATATATGATAAGAGGCAATTCTGGCCCTGTAAACATTAACATTTTAGAATGATACTCAGATATGTTTAATCTATATTTATTTTGTAGAAGAGATTATATTATAGAAATATTTCCAATATATATATTTTAGGGAAAACGAGTACCTGGTTAACCGAGTATCGATCGAACGTCCAGATCGAATACTAAAATCGGAGTTACTCGGAAAATGTATATTTTTAAATATTTCTAAGCTTATTTATTAATGCATTAAAACATAGTTTTAAAACGTAAAATGTTCATTGCACTTGTACATACAGTAATTAGGGTTTCCTATGCCTCTAAATGACCGTTATCGCCTGTGGCAGTGTTTATACTGTAATTATCGTGACCAAACACCTGATGTACCTAAGGGCTTCTTTTGCACCTTCGACTGTCGTCTTCCCTTATATTTAGTTGAAAATGCTGTTAATTATTTGTTTTCATTGAACATCCTTGGTCCATTATATTTAAACAAATTAAATAATTTTGTCAATTCTCCACAGAAGCCGTAAATGTTGTCTTGAAAGATTTGCAGACGATATTGCACTCAAATTTTAAAATTTTGCATTTGATTACATGCCAAAAAATGCAAATGCTTTGAAAATTTATGTCCATCGTTGCTCTAAACTACAACATACCGTATCGTAAAATGAAATCTAGGATCAACAAGATGTGTTTGTGAAACACTATGCGCCCGGAGCAACAAAGTTCGGTTCATATTTTTAGCATATAGATCAAGATCAAGGTCCCAAGGTCATTGACCTTGGTGTCATTTGAAAGAGCTTAATTAGTGGAGTATGCAACTAAATATGAAGCAAATCTTGAAAAGTCAAAAGTTATGGCTGTAAGGTTAAAGTTTGGGGACATTTGAACACATCCAGCAAAGGACAAAAACCTACACAAGGCCACACATTTGTCATAAAATAGTGGGAAGATCGTAAATGATCTGTTATAGGATAACTTGATCAATTTATATGACAAAACATAAAACTTTTAATTTCACTTGGGGCCTGCATCTAGAGTTACATTACAATTATCTGTATACAGATTATTTTTTAAACAAAAACACTGTGCCAATTTCTGATTTTATTTCTCACAATTTACCTGATAAATAAATTGAACTTAAAAATATGTTAGATTAAATTTCGTCGGTTACAAAGTGGTCAAAAAAATTGTTACAACGCATTTGCAGGTAACCTCCCATGGTTTTGTTTCTACAAGAGTTTACAATGTTTTACAGTTATCAATATAACTTGTTCATATTTATTTACACTTTTACCAGTACCCTTATACTCGATCGGAAAAACGTCTGAGTAACCGAGATCAAATATTGACCGATTTGACATCAGTTATCATATATTTATGTTATATATTAAAGTACGATCGTATCAAAAATGCTGTGGCGTGCACTTTATTGAACAAGATAGAGTAGATTTGATTTAGTGGATTTCTCAATGTTCTTATATTGTATATATGTGCAAGACATTTAACGATTTTCATGAATTAGCAAAAGTTCCTTTCCGCCAAAAGCCACTAAAATATGAATACACAGCCAAATATAATATGTTTACAGTAACCTGCATTACAAAATTCAGTTTCAGATATTAAGAAATATAATCTTTTATAAGTATATAATGAATAGTAAACTGGATATCAGAGGGAAGTACACTTTCTAATTGTAAGCACTCTTAAAATGCAGTCATGAAAATTTGTTATTACAGCTAACTTTAAGGCAGCACCACATGGCTGCCCCTGTGAGAGCACGTTCCCCGCTGCTGCGGCGGCCCTCTCCAACTAAAATCAATAACAGTTTTACCATAACGGGTTACCCCCCAAATAAAGAAACGAGTCTAGTTCAGGTAAATTAATAAATATAGTAAGAAAATGCCTTTTAAGTACATGTATTTATTAGGGCTGGGTATCTGTCAACCAAGATTTGTAATGGTTAGTATTGGTTATTTTAAACATGCACCATGCATATTCCTTTCTAAAGTATTGTTTAGTCAGAACTAAAAATATTTTTATTTTTTGATAGAAACAAATAAAAATTATTGTAGATAAAGATTGATGCAACCTAAAATTATGAAAAAAATCTTTGATCAATATTATTTAATTTTAGGAGGAAAAAAGAGCCATGATGCCCAAATCTGAAAGGCATGGGGAATTTAAATCCCAAGTAACAAATTTTTAGGATTTTCATTTTGAGTGCTGCAATTTTAAAATTAGATTGCCAATATATCGAATATATTTAGGCAGTTTTAAATATTTATTTTGTTAGATATTCATGAGTATGTTTAAGTGCTATATGTCCTTCAATCTTCAGTTACATGTTTTTTTTATAGAAAATATTGCAAATGGTATATCGCAATACATGTAAAATGGGAGTGGGAATTTATCAAGGACAGAGTGGATCTTGGGCCAATGACCCAGCCCTAAAGACCACCTCTTTTATGTAAAGATATCAAATGTTTTTCAAATGTGTTTCACTACAGCTAAGTCAAGCGTTTGATTACCAAAATTTGTAACATTAGAGTTGCAGTATCAAAAGGTATGGTGCGAAATTGGACTGCAAAGTAAATGATTTTAATGTGTTTTATTTTGTGAGATTATATTATTGTAGATGATGATGCATGTACCATAAATTTTAATAATAATAAAGATCTGAGTATCAAATATAGAAAAACATAATCTGACAAAAGTGTTTTATCATCAAAAAGATACTGTTTAAGTCAGCTGTGCAGCAAATGTGTAATTCTCTTCATTGAATGTTCAGATCTTGTCTACATTTTTTAGTCACAATAAATCTACAATTTTATTTCACAATGACTGTCATGGTTTCAGGATAAAGAATCAAGTATGCACAATTAACACTGTATTGCAATCTATAGGTTGATAAATGGTTCCAAAATTGACCAAATTTGGAATATTTGAAAACAAGGCTGTAAAGGTTTGTACATCATGTATTGGTAAACTCTCCTGACACCCGATTCAAGGTTTCTTAAATTTTGTCATATGAAAAATCTTGTGTACAGTGTATTGCACCCCCAAAATGCATGTTGGTACACTAGAACAGCAGGGATTGATCCCTGTGTCAAGAAAACAAAGGCAAGTGGTCACAGCATAATCATCTGAGATTTGTGTGTTGGCAAGCTGATGGCAGGACTTTTGCCAGTATTCCAGACCCATGCATTCGGCACAGCAAGTTGTGTTGCTGTTGGGAGGCCCCCAATTTATGTTTATTTTGATCATGAAACAACTGGCTTTATGTCACAGCATGTATGCTGTTGAAAGGAAAAAAGAAACGTTGGTAAACTTTTGTTGGTGAATTGTACTGAGAATTGATAAAATAATGTTTTTATTTTGTAGAATCTACCTATTTAAAATCGTCTTTCAAAAAGATATAACCAAATTCTATTCTATGATTTTGTCATAATTATTATTGAAGAAAATACCCCCAAAATGAAAATTAACTCTCATTATCTTTAATGTCTATCAGTAATATTGTCAGAGTTTTGTTTTCTGCATGGAATAGGGCCCAGTCTGGTACAAATCCTGGCTATATTGTATCCAAACATGGGTAACCACGCAAAAGAGCATCTTACTGGGCGCGTTGGCAACATTGGTTGGCGATACAACATCTTAAAATGTTGATCTTTTCAATAAAACTAAATAAGTGAAGATTAAAATAACATATTTTTAAAAATTTTGTATTAATGTTATTATATATAAACATTAAAAATTTCTCTATAAATTTTGTTTTTGTGGATGGGGTAGGGGTATGGCTATCCTTAGGCATAGGACCAAAAGAGGTGGCAGGGGGGTAACCCGCTCGTAACATGACTCTGGGACAGGATTGCAATCTATAGTAAAACCTTGGTGTATTGAGGCCCTTTTTCTCTGAAGGGCAAAAGGGATTTGATTATTGAGGCCCCTGAAAAGATGACAACTAAATGGAGGATGGGTTGGGCATTATGAGGCCCCATCTGTACCTTTACAGCAGTTGTTTGATGCCATTGAACTGAAGGCTTCCAAATTTGTGTCAATTTTGGATAATGTTTATTAATTTAAAACGTACTCTTTTGCATACCTCATTGCATCAATAATGCAACAAGATTTGTTTAGTCAAAGAAAAAAATTATTGCCTTCTTTTCAAAATGACAGTCTCATGATAGTAACACGATTTTTATATTTATTGTGATAAAATTTTACAGATGTAGAGTAAGTTTTAAAAGATCGGATTTTGATTCAAGTAAGAGAATTACACATTTTGACCAATTTTGAATTTTGTCATGTGGTCAAATTTTTATTGTTCCTGAGAACTGAGTATCTTTTTGATGATAAAACTGACTTTTGTCAGATTATTTATTTACATAAATTTACTCAGATTTTTATTATTATGTTAAAATTTATGACAGTAAATTGATCATTCATTTAAATACAAGACAAAATATGTAATGTTGAATGTTTCATGTATTCAATGAAAACACACAATATAAAACTGTTTTGGTTGTCATATGATTTTGGCAAAATTCTGTGATTTCAAACTTTCAAAATATTCCTCGGAATCTTAAAATTATGTCTCAAATGAACTTCTTTGGAAGGATCAACTAAAAACATCATAAGGCAAGACTTATTTTGACAAAATCATCTTTTAATGACAACCAAAACAGTCTCTCAGCTTATATTGTAACAACTGTTTTCATTGATTACATACACACATTCAACATAATTCACATTATAACAGTAAACTTTACATCTTGATTTTTTTTTTCACAATTTTGTCAATGATCAATTTACTGTCTGGTATATTTCTACTTATTTTAACATGTTAATGTTTAATTTGCCAAAAAATCTGTTCTGCTTCCAACACCACTTCAGGTTCACATCTAATAAATAAATGTGCTCTTCTCCTTTAGAAATTCAGTTCATTTAAGTTCATTAGTCTTGAAAACTACTCACATTATTCAATCAAGAAATCAAGCACAGTTCTCAGTTCATGAACAATCACAGCAAATTCCATGTTCATTCAACAATTTCCTGAACAAGTGTTTCATTCAAATTTCCCAACACTAGTCTCAGTTCACTTGAAAAACCGCCATGTATAGAAGAAGTAAATGATATGCCATCTTTTAAAACTTGACCTTGACCTCTGAACTTGTCAATTCTATTTTTCAAGTCTGACAAAGTGAAAGTGCCTCCAAACATAATTAATACTTCCATCTTTAATATCCATAATACTTTCAACTATCTGAAAAGCATCTAACATACATATAATTTTTTTCTTTGAATCTAAAAAATTTCCTTAACATTCTTTTACACTTCACCATTGATATATGTAACTATACATGTATGCTTAAAAGAGTACATTTTACAATTAATAAAATATCATTTAGTCCCTGTGGTCTTAACAACCCCAACCCCATACTACATTTTGGCCCTATGCCTTCAGATCAATGGCATCAATAATCCCACATTCCCCTGTTTGAGCCTAAAGCTACAGATTATATAATGCCCAACCCATCCTCCATTTAGTTGCTCATCTTTAGATCAGGGGCCTCAATAATCACCCACCCCATCCCTTATTGCCCTTCACCCAGAGAAAAAGGGCCTCAATACACCAATTCCATTCCCCATTTCCCTGTTTTGGCCCTACAACTACAGATCCTCCATCCTGTCCCCAACAGAAGAGATCAGGGGCCTCAAATACCCCCACCCCCTACCCCGTTTTGGTCCTATGCCTAAGGATAGCCATAATAGCCCCTACCCCATCCCCCATTTTGGCTCAGGGGCAATCGATCTCTTCATTCAAAATTACTATAGAGGGGGTATTGCATGATAGCCTTTTTAATGTTTTCAATATATAATAACATTAATTAAAATTCTAATTTTTATTTTTTGGAAAATATGTTATTTTATATTTTCATTTATATAGTTTATTATTGCAAAAGATTTTAAGCATTTTAAGATGTTAGTGTCGCCAACCAATGTTGGGGGCCAACAGCCCAACAGTAAGATGCTCTTACTGTGACTGGGTACATACCAGTTTGGATACATAGATCAGCGGATTGTGTACCAGACTGGGCCCTGTTCTACAGAAAACAAACCAGTCTCATTATATTACTGCCTAAAGTTATTGATATTAGAAATTAATTTTATAAAGTGGAATAAAACATTTTCTTAATAAAATAATTTTACTTTCCTCTAGAATAGTTTCTTTTTATATGCATTACTTACAGTGTGTTGATTCTGTAAGATTCTACATGTACTAGAAATAAAAACATTATTTTATCAATTCTCAATACACCATGCAGCCAACTTAAACAAGAATGTCACCAACTTTATGTTGGGGGTGTTAAACCCAACAGCATTGACATGCTGTGACATAAAGCAAAAGTAACATGAATCAGTCACCAACATCATGTTGGGGGCCTAAAACCCAACAGCAACACAACTTGCTGTGACTACTCGCCTTCCAAAAACTGCAACAAAAGTCCTAAGCCACAAAATCAGCTGTCGCCAACACATGGTTGGGGGTGTGAAACCCAACAGCAAGACAACTTGCTGTGACCACTTGCCTTTGTAAATTGGACACAGTGGATCTAATCCTGCTGTTCCAGTGTCACCAACATAAATGTTGGGGGTGTAAAACCCAACAGCAAAATGTCAAAGGTCATTCTGCTGTGACCACCCACCTTAAATCGGGTGTCAGGAGAGTTTGCCAATAAAAGCTCTACACCAACCTTTACAGCAGTTGTTTTCAAACCTTCCAAATTTGGTCAATTTTGGAACAATTTAAAAGGTATTTACTATAGATTGCAATACAGTGTTAATTGTCTAGTACTTGCCTTCTTTTCCTGAAACCATGACAGTCTCATGAGTAACACGATTCAAGAAATATTTATTGTGATAAAATAATGCAGATGACAAGATCGGATGAACATTCAATGAAGAGAATTACACATTTGCTGTAATAGCTGACTTACCCCCTGAGTATCTTTTTGATGATAAAACACTTTTGTCAGATTATTTTATTCTTACCTTGATACTCAGATCTTTATTATTATTAAAATTTATGGACATCATTTAAATCTACAAAATATAATTAGTTCACAAAATAAAACACATTAAAATCATACACTTTGGCAGTCCAAGTACCTTCGCACAATACTTTTGATACATGCATATTTTAATGTCCACAACATTTTAAAAACGCTTGACTTAGCTGTAGTGAAACACATTTGAGAAACACATTTGATGATCTTTGGATCTACTCCTAGAGGTCATGGTCAGTACTGGCGGCTGGTCATCTGAGGCCTAAATCCACTCTGTCCTTGATAAGACATCCCACTCCCATACATGTTGGATCCACCACTACCATTTGCGCCGGACATCCCCATACTTGATGGCACACCTCCCATCATTGCTATAAAAAAACATGCAACTGAAGACTGAAGGACACTACAACACTTAAACATACTCATGAATATCTAACAAAATAAGATACTTTAAAACTGCCTTTAAATGTCTCGACAGTGTTTGCAGTTTTATTTTATCTCAAATCTAATTTTAAAATAAAACAAGCTGACAGCACTCAAAATGAAAATCCTAAAAATGTCAAACAAAATAAGACACTTTAAAACTGCCTTTAAATGTCTCGACAGTGTTTGCAGTTTTATCAATGTTATCTCAAATCTATCATACGCAATGTAGTTTGAACTTTTTTGGATTCTTCCCTGGAGTTGAAGAGTTCCACTAAATGAAGGACCTGTGTGCAATATTTTTGATGTCTAAATATGGATTTGTACACCTCTTCTAAAACAATATTTGATGGAAAAAAATCTGGAATTGATGTTTTATAATTTTTGTACATTTTTATTTGAATTATGCAAAAATTTTCAAAATTTGATATCTTTTCAAAACCCCTGGTAATGCATGCTGATTTTTTGTCTAAGAACATGTAATGATATTATAAGTTTAAATTTAGAATATCTTGAAAAATTATCAGTAGGTAAGGTACATTGCGTATGTCCTTAAAATAAAACAAGCTGACAGCACTCAAAATGAAAATCCTAAAATATCCTTTTACTTGATGCTGGTGGTCGGCCTGGCCCCTGATTTAAATTCCCCATGCCTCTTCTATATTTGGGCATCATTGCTCTTTTTTCCTCCTAAAATTAAATTATATATTGATCAATGTTAAATTGCACAAAGGAATCATTTCACAGCACATTTAAGCAATCATAATTTTAGGTTGCATCAATCTTTATCTAAAATAATTTTATTTGTTTCTCTATTAAAAAAATAAAAATATTTTTAGTTCTGACTAAACAATACTTTAGAAAGGAATATGCATGGTGCATTTTATCACGTAACCATATTACTAACCATTACAGTCGTTTCTCTGGTTGACAGAATCAGGGAACATATATAAATACTTACCAGGGAAATATCTTCCTCAGGGTGAATGAGTTTGGATGTCAAACCTGAACTAGACTCGGGTTTCTTTATTTGGGGGGCCCCCGTTATGGTAGCACTGTTATTGACGGGGGAGTTGGAGAGGGCCGCCGCAGCAGCGGGGAACGTAGGCTTGACAGGGGCAGCCATGGGCGCTGCCTTAAAGTTAGCTGTAGGAGGTGCTGAAATAGTCGCCGGCGATGACTGGAAGTAAGAGTGCTTACAATTAGAAAGTGTACTTCCCTCTGATATCCAGTTTACTATTCATTTGATATTCTTATAAAAGATTATCTTTCTTAATATCTGAAACTGAATTTTGTAATGCAGGTTACTGTAAACATATTATATTTGGCTGTGTATTCTTTTTAGCGCTTTTGGCGGAAAGGAACTTTTGCTAATTCAAGTACAACGCTAAATGTCTTGCACATATATACATAAATAAGAACATTGAGAAATCCACTAAATCAAATCTACTCTAACTTGTTCAATAAAGTGCCACGCCATAGCATGATACGCCCGTCAATTTAATATATAATATAAATATATATATTGGAAATATTTCTATAATATCTATAATATAATCTCTTCTACAAAATAAATATAAATTAAACATATCTGAGTATCATTCTAAAATGTTAATGTTTACGGGGCCAGAATTGCCTCTTATCATATATAGTCCTTTATATAATGAGCCTCACAGACAAAGAAAATGTTTAAGCTGCTTTGTCAGCATGGACCAGCATGTACTGATCATGTAATTCTTCTTTCACTTCTGGATTATTGAATACAGTAATTTAAATGGTTTTCATATTGCCTCTCAATCTTTATGTGGTTGTAACATGGATCTGGTACATTTAATCTATTATGACAAAATGTCTACGTCCTCTTTTTTACATCTGGCCCATCGTCTGGCAATAATATATATATTTATGAAATTCTGTTGCCAGTTGAAGGATCTGGGTTCCCATATATGAGACCATTTAAATGAAGTATATTTGCGTCACCTGTAATACGTGTCTAGCAGAACTATAGCTATAGGGTGAAGAACATGGACAGGACCAAATGAATCTGGAAAAACATTTCTTTTATCAAGTTGTCTGTTCTTGATGAACAGGTATTGCATCTAGAGGGCATTGCTAAATACAATTTTCTTGAACAGTTTAGCATGCAAGAAAATCACATCAACCTTGATTCTAAGATTTCCATGATTTTCCATTCCTTCAAATATTTATCCACTCCCTGTGATGAAGGCATTAATTATAATAAATATTACATCATTAATAAATTTCTATGCTGGTTGTGTTAGACCTTGTCAAATGCCCATCATATTAAACAATATCAAATTAGTCTGAACACCTTAATCTATACCAAATTAATTTTGAAAAGAAAAGGCTGGCCATCAAATGACATATGCTATAAACTGACCAGCACTTCTTCTGTCTAATCCCCAAAGGATACAGATAAGACTGCTTGATCAAAGTGATTGAGACAGCTGGCCTTCCTACAATGAACTCATTAATTAATCTTTAACTGGATGCTTGTCTACTCATTACTACCAAGAGATGAATGGGTCTGCACTATCTACCATAATTCTTTTTTTTAAACATATAAAATATTCAAAGATTTTTTTTGGTTGAGATTTAATGTCCCACAGGTTTTAATATGTAATTCATATGGACATGCTGATTCCATCCCACCCCATAAAATTAGTTTTTAAATTAATAATATCATATAATATCAGATTAGTCTATTATGCAATATCAAATTAGTTTTAGCGTAATTACTTTTCATCAAATCTTAAAACTTAGGCTAGCCAACAAGAGCTATTTTTAATCCAACAGGCTTACCCATCTGCCCAATACCCAAGGGATATAGATAACACCAATGCTCTATCAGTTAGATCCTCACACTCAAAACTCATTAATTTCTCTCTAATTTGACATGCAATTTTCTGTTATCAAAATTCTTCTTGACCAGTGCTTGATAATTACACTCAAGGGAGAGGTAGGATTTCTCTAACATACATTATATTTGTTATAGATTGCTGTCAAGTATATGCTTAAAAAAATAAGTACATGTATTTTCTTGATTTAACACTTTTTTAATAAGGACAGTGCAATACTCTTTCATTATTTGGGATACTTAAATGAATAGTAAAAAGACACATTTTTTTTTTTTAATTTCACATAAATTAAAGGTCACAGTGACCTTGAAATAGGTCGCGACACACCTTCTGCCTAAGATGCATAAACTGGTCAAGTTTGATGATTGTAAGTCTTGTAGTTTTCTACTTATGGGCCGGAAAGGATTTTTCCATATTTGGCTATAACTTCTTAATAAAAGGTCAGAGCGACCTACTTTTAGTGCGTGACACACCTTCTACCCAAGATGCATCAGATGACAAAGTTTGATAATCCTAGGACTAATAGTATTAAAGTTATGAGCCGGAAACGAAAAAGCTAACAGACAGACGGACCGACACGAAGTCTATAACATAATACGTCAAGTCTTAAGACGGGCGTATAAAAATCAATTTCCGCCAAATATCGTACACGCTAAATATAATACATTTACAGTATTTTCCTGATCATATAATACCAGGTATTTCTATATTTTTTGCTTAACATAAAATAAAACTTTCTAAGACAATGTCATTAAAGTTTGGTATGTAGCCTGAAGCTCAACAGTAACTTTGGCATAATTTCTGACCTGTGCTGAGGGAAATAGTGGTTTAGCGGGTCCACTCTGCGTACTCATAGGCATGGTCCCGGGCATAGTGGATGGAGGTCCATTGGGCATAAAGTTAGGGCGTGGAGGCATCCCAGGCATAGGGGGCATACTGCAAAGATATCATAAAGGATACTCCTTGTTTATTCAATTCTCTAATTTATTACTTACATATTTATCAACAATTGCTGAGTATTAAATCTCAGATTTTCAAAATAAGTTATTTCTTACCCCATAGGTCCCATTGGTCCTGCAAAAAAGGAGGAAAATATAAAATTATGGTTGTGCAAAATTATTTAATGATATATTCACCAAGGAAAGGAGTGAAAAAAAAACAAAAAAATTTAAAAGCTCTACCTGATTATAAATCAAATCTGTGATTTTGATATCAGGGGTGGTTTAAAAATATTTCTGATTCTCAAAAGCTTATTGTCTATAAACTCATTTTAAATTGTTGCTCAGAGGGAATTTCAACACAAGATCAAATTCAAAAGTAATAACTTACCCATTGGTGGCATAGGGCCCATTGGCCCCATAGGACCCATTGGTCCCATCATTGGACCTGGACCCATAGGCCCAGGAGGCCCCATAGGGGGCATGGGAGGCATGCCATAAGGCATATTACCAGGAGGCATTGGCATTCTGTTCATGCCGTACGGTGGGGGTACCTGGGGGTTTTGATTGCCCGAGGGACCAGGCATTCCATCATTACTGTCTGTATCTTCCTTCAACTTCTTACCGGGAGGCTCTAAAAATAGAAAACCCGACTTCTAATCCTAGCAAAGTTACTGAATCTTCCAATCAATTAGAAAACACGACTTCTAATCGCAGGAACGATACTGAACCTTCCAATCAAATAGAAAATAAAACTTCTAATCCCAGCAAAGTTACTGAATCTTCAAAATTATTTAGCAAACTATTCTTTCAAATGAAATAGAGCCATAGTTGTACCATGTCTTGAAACATAACAAGATCCAATAACCCATATTTACTTATTTCTGTAGTAGTAAGATTCTTTTTTACCTCCTTCATTCCCCTGCTTCTGTTTTTCATGTGCTTTTATATCTTCCTCTGGAATTCCCTCCATTCCGTAGATTTCTATTTCACAGTTATTTCTCCCTGGCAGCGAATTTGGCACTTTATCTATTTTTTCTTTGTGAACCTAGTAAGAATTCAAAAATTTGTCAAGCTCAATATTTTTTCTCTGTTTTCCATATGAATCATTATCAAGACATTTTTCAAGTCATTCAACAAACGTTTTACATTTTTGGTGAACTGTAAGTCTCTAACAGCAAACATACATGTAGTTCTGAGACTACATTGCAAGCATAATGATGAATTACCTGTGTTATGCATATATAATTCTGACCTTTGTGTTCCTAAAGAACACATGACCCTATATCCTTTGCCCTTCCCCACCCCCCAAAACAATGTTCTGATCAAATATTCCTGAACCTTATTTAAGACAAACTCAATTTCAATTCCCCTCACCATTTCGAGTGTTACAATTTAACGTAATATTGTGAGGATTACCTGCATGCAGTGAATGGACAGTCCAGGTCCTGTGTAGAGCTTTTTGTGACATATGTGGCATTTAAAATGCTTGGCTTTCTGATGCTGAATCAGAATCTTTTCATCATCAAATTCTCTGTTGCAATACCTTTTTTTTTTATTAAGGAATATACAGATAGTACATCTCTTAGGTCAAGATCTAGTAAATGAAAGGTGCCTACAGTCTTATCAAATTTAAAAATAAATTCCTTCAATGATGCTTTATTACTTTAGCTAGGTCAAATAAGGTGTTTCGGGGCATAATTTATAGTTAAACAAGATGAAATATATTTTACACTGTCATTTCCAATGAAAATTTAAGAAAAGCTGTAGTGAATATGGGAGTTTTTTTTCCAATTCAGACAAAGAAAATGTATCCAGATTGCCTACAGTCTCTTAGAAAATGGTAATTTGTATGTTCATGGCCTCTTCTTTAAAATGATATTAAATTCGATATAGGTATCTGGACTACTTTTCATGTAATTTCAAATTGAATTCCAACAGTGTTTTCCCTAAGAACCGGCAACCAGCCAAATTAACCACTTCAACTGACAAAAATACCGCTTTGAAATAAAAATTTGTTGTAAGGTCCACAAAGCAGTGCTCCAAGTTGCGACTAAAATGGTAGCATTTGCTACCAAAAAATTGATTCTACGACTAGAAATTTAAAATAAGTCGCATTTTCGCGACTGAGAAAATTTGGGCTGACAATGTCCATCTTTTTCTGATCGGGATCAAGATTTACATTTTCAAGATTCTCTATCAAGACAACGTTTAAAGATATATTCTTTAACACACTTTAAAAAGCATCGCATGGACTTAGATCACGTAATGCTATGACAGAATGCTGTAATAGTGAAGTTTGATAGAACCAGAAACGTATATACATAACGTCCCTGATAGAATGACATCCAAACGTCGTAAACTTTCTAGAGTTTCTCTGACCTTGCTATTAAAGCATTTGGTCAATGGCTTGCATATCACAATTAATTGTTTTGGCGGCATTCATAACGACTGTGTAATGGGTAAGATACATAGTAGTAAGTAAACATGATAAACAATTGGCAAAGTCCTGTCTCAACAACTGTCAAAGTTTTATTTTTCTTTTGATTAAACTAATTCTAGGTCTAAGGATCACTCAGATTACTTGTGTTCTTCAGTGTACATGTACTATTATGTATTACAACCACAAGGGTGTTGTAATTAATAAAAATATTTCCTTCAACAAGCAAAAGATTTCTAATCACAATAATTAGTAATCTTTTCTTTAATAAAAACAAACACATAACACTAATGAGTGTTAGTTCCTTGTTTTAATTGTGCACCGGTAATTCACATGTTTTCATCATGGCGAGTGAAAAATTTGTTTAGCGATGGTGATCATAAATTCTGTAATTCGTCTTGCTTTTTTGAAATTTGAAAAGAGTCACAATGCATTCTACTGATTCGGTAAAGGATTCGCCATTTGATGCAATTTGACCTTAAAGTAAGTGTGACTTGGGGCACTGCAAAGATTTTGTTCATAAACCTCACGACATAGCCTGTTACAATTGATCTCTAACCCTTTATTTTGAAATAAAGGGAAAATACTGATTCCATGAAAACCCTTTATTTTCTACATAATCCTATTAGAGAGGTGAAGTACGGGAAAAAGAGAGTTGAAAGTTATTATAATGTCATAATAGATCTAGCACCAAAAAGTTAGTCTAAAGACAATTACTAGATCTTGACCTTAAGCACACTAGTTTATAAGGGCGTTAAATTCACATTAAAGATTAACGAAATAAGCAATTACGAAGAAGAAAAATTAGAGAATGTAAATATAAGCTATTGCGCGGTATTCAATTTGTCGGCACAACCAGTAGGGCTGTCACAGGTACCCGAAATGACCTGGAACCGCGGAACAATTAATTCCGGTCAGGTTCGGTTCTGTTTTTCCAGAATCTGGTTCGGTTACAATTTGTACAATAGAGTAGGTTTTACCATCAAAATGGCGTCTAAAACGAAAGGTTCATTAGTATATTACCATTAAAAATGGTTATAATGTGATTTGAATCATTTAGTTCAATTATTTTTCTAGTTACGAAACTTATTTGAACCAATCATTAATTTTCTGTTTCTTAGATTTTGAAAAAATATAAAATTTTTGTTGAATACAATTCAAATCATGTTTTTATTCTATTAACATGATTAAAAACCCGAACCGAATTCAATACTTAAAAACCCGAAACCAAACCTTAAAAAATATAAGCAATTTCTAACCGACCTTGAATCAGAGAAAAATTATGGAACCATGACAGCCCTAACGACCAGGTGTGTTATAGGACCGACGACATCCAATAATATGAATTATCAGAATTCAATACTTAAATAGCCTATTGTTTTCACTTTTGGTTACTTTCAATGCTTAATGCTTACATTACGAAAAATCGTAATATATATGTATTGTACATCTTTTAATTTAATTAAGAAACGAATCTGGTAATATTACAATTTTTAGTAAACGTAACTGATATAATTCCCATCAAACGACTGCTGTTGTACACGGAAGAGGGACAAGTATAATTTGGGCGAATCATCTTGGGCTAAATTACGGCACGCAAACAATATCTGTCTGGTTGGGATCTGGCAAAACTTCTGGAAGGGGCAAACTATTATTTCTAGGAATCGTTCGATATAATTTAACTTTTTCAAACTGTATCAAGAACTTTACAAAAAGGATACCAGCACCAAGGCTTCAATTGCTTCTTCTTTTTTCTTCCCATTTTAATTTCTTTTCAAAATATTCTAAATGAAATATTTTTCAATATGGCGTAGCGTCAAATCCGGAAGTTGATGTGTACTTTTGAAACCATCCAGAATTTTAAATCCGAAATAATCAAATGTCTTGAAAGGAACTTGATACTCAAAAAGTTAAGTTCTGCATTCTCCAGAAGTACTGAAAATAACAAACTCATTTATTTAAAAAATGTATTACATCTAGAAATGATTGCGTAACATAATTATTTTACAAAATAATGACGGTATGATTTTTAAAATTATGATAATTATGTACATGGACCCATATATACCAGAGACATAAACTAAGTATAGTTAGTATAAGTATATAGGTCCCTGTTATGTATAACCTTTATATTTAATATGTTGACGGTGCGACCGTTAGAGCGAGCGCAAACTCCTCTATTGTTAAAATTTAGATCGGGCTCGTCAAACCGCAAGTTGGGTGCGTTCACAGTTCTGCCGTTGGTAGACAAAAGTTGCCGTTGGTAAAATTAATTGCCATAGGCATGCCAGTGGTACCAATGTTTTTTGCCAATGGTATATTTTTCTGCAGACAGTCTAGAGTGTGGTTAATGTTGGTAAATGACGTCACAGCTAGTTATCGACATGGCAACAAGCTAGAAAGACTTGGATCTTGGATTAACAATGATATAAACGATTTTTCCTCTAGGCCTTTTTAACAAATCATGCCAAAATCACATAAAAATCATATCAAACACTTAAATTCATGATTTTGAAGTATGATTTAGACATGATCCATTAAATGTATTATATAAAACTCATAGATATGGCAACTAAAGAAGTGTGATCCTGATGTGGTTTGTTTCTCGGCTATGAGTCTGCTATGATTTTTTTGCGATTCTGGCATGTGCCAATAACTTAGAAGACAAATAAATCTGTAATTCAGTATTACCAACGTTTCCATTAGCCTCCCATTGGTAACATTGGTAAAATCGTTACATTTTTATGCCAATATCCGTTCAGGGTTTATTGGTACAGTTGGTACCATTGTCAAATTATTGCACCAATGGTACATTGAAAGTTGGTACTAATGGTAGAACTGTGAACGCACCCATTTGAACAGTGCTGAAAGTTAATGAAAAAAGTTACGTTTACAATTTTTCTTCAATATGTATCATAGGCGTAGTCACAGGGGGGCAGCGGGGGCACTAGCCCCCCCACTTTCAGATCTGGGGGGGCAAGAGTATGTCTGTGCCCCCCCACTTTTTAATGAAGAACAAAATCACAGCTATTTTAAAACAATATTAAACCTCATTTTATGGCATTTTTTCTGTATTCAACAACTGAGTAAGCATATAGTTGTATAATGCGGGTCAAAAAATTGAAATTGAAAGTAACTTGCCTTTGAAAAAAAAGTTGTCCACTAACAACCCCCCCCCCCCCCACCCCACGAAATAGGATTTTCGAGTTTGGGGAACTTTCACTTTTGGGTTTTTTTTTTTTTTTTTTTTTTTTTGCCTGTAAAAGAATTTCTGGACTTGAGCCCCCTCACTTTTAAGTTTGTGTGTTTTTTTGTTTTTTTTTTTTTTTTTGCTTGTCAAAGAATTTCTGGACTTGTGCCCCCTCACTTTTAAGTTTGTGACTACGCCTCTGTGTATCCATTTAATAAAGGCGAGTAAACTTTTTGTTGAACATTGGCCGTCATTCTCGCGAGAACGCAACTTTGCTAAGTGATGCATTGTGGGTCAAAATTACTGCAGCAAAAAATTCTAAAGAATGAATGTGCAGTAGTCCGAATTTTCTCTTCGCCCAGGCGTTGTCGTTAGAGCTCGCAGTTACGACGCTCGCTGCGCTCGCTATAATATGTTGTGTCTTTTCCAATTATTGTAATTGTGTTTGTGCCAACAAATATTTTTTTGGTCAGCACTTCCCTGCATGCTTTTTGTGCGTCTGCTTCTCAGTTGCGTGTATTCAGTTTTAAAAAAAAGTGTTTTTCAAATGACATTACAGAACATAGCTACAGGGGGGCCTGCATTTTTTTTAGATAATTTGAATTGAAATTTTATTTTCAAAAGGTTATGTCCCCTCAAAATCGGAACTCTTCCTAACTTCCGCGGAGCTTTCTAGTGATTAAAAGCTAAAAATACGGTTTGCATTTTTTTAAGATAATAAATTATTCTATAAAATTAGCCAGACACGAAGCATCATCTTTAAAAGTGGGGGGGGGGGAAGAAATATTTTTTTTCTTACCTGGAAAAGTTGACAAGCAAAGAAAAACCTTGCCCAAAGTTGAAAAAGATACTTATTTCAGTACCAGTTCCTTGGCATACAATACTACATTTCCCTTATATAACTTTACCGTAGTATTAACTGTGTGTGCGTGTGTGTGTGTGTGGGGGGGGGATTGGCAACCTGTCTATCAATGAACATTTTCAATAGAAAAAGTTATATTGGGAAAAAAGTGGGGTTGGGGCTAAGCTCCTTGACCACCACCCCCCCCCCCCCCCCGTGCGTACAGGTACATAGAACGAATATGTAAATGGGTTGAACAGTTGAATATGAACCATAGTTGTGAAAATTTAAAATTATTAGAATTACTATAATTGTGATTTCAATAAAATTACGGTACATATATTTTTTCACAGATGTACATGTATGTCAGTTACACGGGGTTACATGAGTCTCTCTCTCTCTCTCTCTCTCTCTCTCTCTCTCTCTCTCTCTCTCTCTCTCTCTCTCTCTCTCTCTCTCTCTCTCTCTCTCTCTCTCTCATTGTTTTTTACACACTTTGCAAAAAAGAATAACTTAAAAAAATAAATACATGTACTTACACTGAAAGGATTTTTAAAAAATAAAAATCAGTTGAGAAAAGAATGTTTTCCGTTAATTAACGAGAAATACGCTAGGAAATTATTGTATCAATTTCGTGGTTCTGCTCTCAATTCTCTGATCTAAAACAAAATGTGTATTTTACTCGGGAATATACATGTACATATGCTTAGATCCTACACTAAAACTTTGATTAAATGCAGCTCAGACTTTATACGACATATGTAACACGAATTCAGGTCAATGCTATTTTAATTAGTCTTTCTTCGTTACATGAGGACATGAGATTAAATTATTCATTTAGAATTCTATTCAAAGTTTTAATACTACATATGGTGAACCAATTATTTTACAAATAAAAAATTCTAGAAACACTGTTAATTCAAATGAAATAGGCCTTTAATTGTCACCAAATGTGTTCTTGTAAAAGTAAAAGTTCTATGTTATGGCATACAATCGAGCAAAAACGCAGTTTCTTGGTATCGGTCGCGGAAGACGAAGTACTGCTGTATATGCAGCAATTTCAGAGGTAATCATCAGTCTCCAAAAAATTCCTAGAGATACAAAGAAAATATGGCTGCAGCAGGCTAGATTAATTCTTAAAACAGAGACGTATAATAGAAAAAAAATTTATAACTAAAAATTTGTTCCGCACATTATGTAAATAATGATGATCCGTCTGCAGAATATCCACTACCGAAAATTAGCTTATTAGATTTTTTTTTTAAAATTTTTTTTTAATAGGCCTATTCGAATATGTATCAGCATTTTATCAGTAATTTGTTTCTTTCTTTTTTTTTTTTGTAAGGGGGGGGGGCACACAGCACCTTATTATAGTACTACACAGATTAATACAAATCCAGAAAGAGACTATGAGTGGGCAATTTAAAAAAAATACGAATCAGTTAAGATTTCTTTTTATTCACAAGCACAATAACATTTTTCCATATGACAGATGCATTACACCATAAACATGTTTACATCAAGAACGTCCGCGGAAGTGACTTTATTTATAGCGCATGCGTATTAAACACAGTAAAAGAGTTCCCTTCAGGGGAAATAACTCACCTTTTGAAAATGGGGAATTTTATTGATTTTCTTACTGAAAAATAATTTATTGTTCAGTTATTTGTTATTGGTTGAAGATAACTTTTTTTTTAAATATATGACTTTAAACTCCAAAATGTTTTTCTGAGAAAGTAACCTTGATAATTAAGAGATATATTTTTGCCCAAGGGGGGGGGGGGGCTGCCTTGTTTTTCCTCTTTTTTTTGTTTCGTTGTTTTGAAAAAAATTTAACATCTGTATATAAATCCAACCTGGAATATTAATTTGAGTATTTCTCACGCAATCTCGCGACCTTAATTTCAGTAGAAATGTACATATTACCACAGAATGGCGATTCAACTACATAATTTATCTTTTTTTATAGGGGAAAATACTTTTTTCTTTTTACATTTTCATAAGGTTTCATCAGGTCTCAAAGACTACAAACAGAGAAGAGTACAGTATGTCAGTCATATTTATCATATAATCAAAAGTTATACATTTGCATATTTAAAAGAAAACAATTTTTTTCATTTTCAAAAATTAGATAAAAAATCAATAGAAATATTTTCAAATTTATTTAAGGTCTGTTCTCCTTTTCTAGTCTTGAGATTTTTAATTCAAACCAAATTTGTTTCATGCCAGAACATTTTACACCTTGGTCCAATTCAACTCTGATACAAATAGGACAAAAGGTCATGACCCAGGTGTCCTTAAAACAAACTAGTGAATCTTCAGTGAACAACATATTGTATACTGACCACTGATTAATTAGCCAATACTGCTTAAAGCTAGTGTACCTACATGGCAAAGTAACTGACCATTGTTCAGTATAATAATATCCATATAATATATTAGATAAACTACATGGGCCTAGTTCTCTGTATTTCAACAGTGAATGATATATAGATACTCAGTACATGCACTGTCAAAACTTGCCATTCTGAACTATGGGATCAAGAAAGAATGTTTGAGATTAAGAGTATTTCGACCATTTTGGACTTCTAAATCACTGTCATTCAAGATACCCAATTATTCAAGGTACCAAAGTTCAGTTCCACATCTGTTTATAATCTCTTTAAAAATATTTAACTGATATTGTGATATGTCTCCATTGGCGTGGAGGACTGCAGATTTATACCTATATTGGTAACTCAGGGACTCACCCCAAGGACTGTCCTATGGTTGGAGTATTCCGCATTCAAACCTGTGATGTAAAGATCAACTCATTACTTCGGCACAACTCTTCAGCAAATGCCCCAACCACTGTACAGCACAGTTATATATGTAGATAAATCATAACAAGAACATTGTCTTTTAAAAAGAAATGATAACTAAGAAATTTACACACATTTATTTACATTAAAAACACAAAAAACAAGAAATGGACAATTAAAGGTTTTAAGAAAATAAATTAACTAAACATACACAAAACCCTGGCATACCAGGGTACCTGAAAAAAAAAAAGCTTAAGGTGTGTGTACCTGATGAGCAAGAATGGTTATTGAATTGCAACAAAAGCAAGTACTGATGAAACAGTGTAGATTATGACATAAAATATAGGTCAGACATTTCAATGTTCATACAAGTAGCTATAATGAGGTATATACCCTATATTATAAAAAAAGGTTTAATAAATCCTCGAGATAACTTCAGTTAAAATGTAATTCCTCTGAAAAAATTCTGATTTTGAAGTAACTGGAAAGAAAAAAAATATTTTTCTGATAATTTGATTGCAGTTTTTGTTTTGGATCAAATCACTGTTCGTCATCTTCAAAACTTTCATTGACTCAATTTTTCATAGAAAAATAAGAGAAAGGAAGAAGAAAGACAGAATACCTAACAATAAATACCATACATTGGATAATCTGGTGGTTATCATGACTGAAATATTTCAGCTTTGTTTGATACTGAATTTGAGCACGGAATATTACGTTTCTCTGATCATTACATTATGCTAGTGACAGGTGTGACCGGATCGTTATGGAATGCTTAGTCCTCCAAGGCACCTGATCCCACAGCTGTGATTTCCTGTGATCCTTGTTTTATGCCTTATTTACAGATTTGTATTGATTACAATTTTTGTTTTGGATCAATCACTGTTCGTCATCAACAAAACTTTCATTGACTCAATTTTTCATAGAATTTTCAGTTTGATAAAAAAAAAGTTTTGCCATTGAAATGAATTAAAAAGCAGAAAAAACTTCAAACAGAAATTATACTGTTCTAATTCGTTTCACTCAAACAAACATAAATTATTTACTATCATTACAAGAACACTTGTCTGTATAATAATGGAAGCGCTTGCTTGCTAGCATTTAATAGACGTATACATTTACAAAACACAAGTCTTCAATAGTACCGATTCTCTACCTTCCTTCTAAAATATTTCAAAAAATAATTAATATTATAGAACAGTACAAAATGCATTTAACACAATGTTTTACATGTCCTCCCTTCACTGATTAAAAACATAATATAAAGTATGTATGAACACATTATGCTTCCCTCGCCACCCAGGAAAAACCATAGATAAAAAAACAACATCGATTTATGTTGAAAAAACTATGGAAACCTGTAAGTCCGCAGCAACTGCGAGGTAAACAAAATGAATGGCGGACTCATTCTCACAAACTTGCAAGTGTCATGAATTATAATGTACAATTAATTGATTTGTTTAAGTAAAGCCTATGCAAAATAAATGTAAATTGGAACTATCTGTAAACACATTTCGACTATATGTAGCTATAATATGTACCATTACACAACAATTTTAGATTTATATAAAATTTTACATAAAATTATCTAGAGCGACAAAGCAAATTTTTTCCTATCTTTGACAATTAATCTGTTGTGTACAAAACTTTTTTTTTCTTGTGATGAAAATAGTTTGATCAATCCTTTAAATAAAACTTTCTTTATTAAACAATACAAATAAGAGGGTGGAGTAAGAGGGTGGGTGGTTGGGTGGGTGTGAATGCCGGAAAGCAAAGCCTTCGAATGAGTTAAAAGCGTGATTAAATTGAATACCTGTTCTACAGGTATCTTCCTTTAAATACTGACCAATAGTTTCTGTCGCTTTTATTAGCACATAATAAACAAAAGCACGTGTTCCTAGTACATATGAAAAATTAAATTACCCTTTCTAAATTATTTTTGTAAAAATTTAACTTCCTTATTAAAAAAATCTGAAGAAGTGTGACATTCTCTTGTTAAATAAAATTAAACATTTTAATGTTAATAGTTGTAATAGGGTATACAGAGAGGTTTTATAAACCCTTGACTCCTGTTACAAAAGCTTTTAATTAGTATTTTGATAAGCATAAAAATCCTCCTTGCTTTTGAACTCAATAGTTTGGGAATAACAGAAGATCTCAAATGCATTTAAACAAACAATAAATATACCTCAGCCTCATCTTCATGCAGGCACTACCTCTCTCATCTTATAACTTAGATATGCGGGCAAAATACCAACCACTTTAAAAATTCTATAGGCTTAGTAAATTTCAGGCAATTACTTAAAACCTCCCTCATTTAAAATTTCATTGTTAACACAGGTCAAACACTAACAACCTCGCTCACTTTAAAATTAAATATTCAGGCAAGAACTACGTCCCTCATTTTTTGAAACTTAAATATTCAGAAGAGCACTAAATACTGAATAATTCCTTCGTTAAATACCTCCCTCATGTAAAATTTCCATATTAAATGTCAGGCAAGCACTAAATACCTCCTTCGTCTTAAAACTTACATATTCGGGCAAGTGCTAAGTACCTCCCTCCTTTAAAACTTCCATTTTTAATACAGGTAAACATTGACAACCTCCTTCCTTCAAAAAATTAAAATATTCAAGCAAGAACTAACTCCCGTGTGTTTGAAAACTTAAATATTCAGGCAAGCACTAATTAATTATCTCACTTTTAAATTTAAATACTCAGGCAAGAAATTAAATATACCTCCCTCACTTTTAAATTTAATTTTTTAAACTTAAATATTCAAACAAGCATTAAATATCTCCCTCACTTTTTAATCTAAATATTCAGGCAAGCACAAAAAACCTCCCTCTATTTATTCATTATCAAGCACTGATTTAACTAGAGGTACTGTGAGCGATGAGCTCACTAAATGATACCCCCCGCCTCCATATAGTTATAATTGCAAAGTCCACGTTTTGCTGTGGCTGGGAAACCCAAAATATGTGTCGGATCAAAAAGTAAAATAGGAGGTGCACAATGGCAATATGAAATAAAGATTCTGTAAAAGTTTCATCAAATTTCATTCCGTGGTATGAGAGGAGTTGCGGATAAGAGATGGGTACCCCAAAGCGTAACAGACGGACGGACGGACAGACATACAGACGGAATAAACGATCACTATATGCCCTCCCGCTTTTCAAGCGGGGGGTATAAAAAAAAATTCCTTATTTTCAAGGTTCCTAATTCAGACAAACACTACCTCCCTTGTTTTTAACTTTAAAATTCAGACAAGTGCTGTTTCAAATACATCTTTTGCTTTCAACTAAATCTGTTATACTAAGACAAGTGTTGATCGGGGGAAACCTTGCTTTAAGCTTAAATAACTTATCAAAAGAATTGAAATAAATGGAAAATATGAAGAAAAAAATCGGACAGTTACCTAGATTTCTTATGTATAGAAACAATCTAAGGTAATATGCTAAAATTAGTTTCTTTTCAGCGTTCAGGAAGTGACTGGTAAAAATACCTCCATTGCTTTTTAGCTTAAATGATATATCTAAAAAAAAATTATACATGTATTAAAAAAATGTTCAAAACAAAGACATACAAATAAATTTTGAATCAATCTTAAGAGTTCAACAAACTTCAAAAAGGAAATTTAAGTAAAAGGAAAAAAGTATAATTAATGAACCTCAATACTTCTAATCTGTAGGGTCTGTTAACTTAAAAAACATCATTAAATGCTCTCTAAAAGATACTGTCTCATTCAGATAAAACAGTAAGCCTAAGTAATCTTAAACAATTATCTAGCAAAATGAATTCTTCTATTATCCTAGATATATCTTAGAAAATGTCATGGTTATACAATACAATAATACATCAAATTCCCACAACCATCCAAAAATTATAAAGTTTCCTTCACATAGTATTCCTGGGGGTTTGTCCTGCTTCAGGCCGTATGGGAATTAAATCTTGGAAAAACATGGGTAGCAAAAAAATATCCATCTCTAGGTCACATGGAAACTTTTGGAAGAACACAAAAAGCGAAATTATCTCCTATAACCGAGACTGCTCCAAGCTCCATCAGAATTCTTTGAAACACATCCATAGGGAAAATGTCTCTGGACTCCATCCCCACAGCTCCAGTTTGAGTAGTACCAGGCAAGGCTCCAGTTATCCAACACTATAGAAATACAATGAATCCCGTAATTTTTTTTACTATATGATACTTTGTGTATAATTTAAGTACAAGTTTTTAGGGTATATATAATGATAATGATAGAAACATCCTCATTTTACCTACAAGAATGTTTTTAGACTAGAAAAATTCAAATAGTTTTTTTTTTTTTAATAAACATGACAATTGTAATTCAAATACAAAGTAAATAAATTCATTTAGCTAATGTTAAAGATAGATTGAGACAGAAACAACACTTTTTGACAAAATAAGGATCATTAATACTTAATAAACCAATTACCTGGTAGTCTGGTAGTTTAAGATCAAACATGATGAATGTTGGGTTTATGTATATTTTTCTGCTTGTGAATGGCACCAAATATTGGCTCACAGTAATTGTTGACTCAGTGACAGACAGTAATTGTTGACTCAGTGACAGACCACTTTCACCTAAAGCCTGAAATGATAAAAAGGAACCTGGAGAAAACTTAAGAATCATAAATCAAATGTTTTTTTTTTCAAAAAAAAAAAATCATATATGATCTACAGTATATCAAAGGTCAATTTTAAATTCAAAGTTTAAATCTCTCACTGTGACATAAGCAAATTTCAGGTTTACGAGGATCAGAGATTTTGCCAGATTCCCAAGGGAGGGTACAACAAGATGGCATTTAGGTCTTAAAAAAGGAAATGAATCAATTTTTAAAATACCATATATACTTGCCTATAAGTCGGTATTTTGGGAGTTAAATTTTGGTCCAAAATTCTATGTCCGACTTATAGGCGAGTCATAAGGAGGCTTTTTTCTGGACTGTGAAATGTAGCATTTTATATATATTTCTGACAACTATTGAAGAATAAAGTCTGGATTACATAATATACATTCAAGGATGATACATAAATTACAAATATTTACTTACTCTACTGGTTTATTTTTATCTCAAGCATGCATTGCTTATTTGTTAAATGATTTAAAATTAAATATTGGCATCATTTAGAGAAATAATTAAATAATTAAATACAATAATTTAATTAAAATCAGGTTAAAAAATCACTGCATTGATTTAAAATTCTTAGCCGATTCTGGCAAAAAGTTTCGACGACTTATAAGCGGGTCAATGGCAAATCAATTTAAACTTCCTCAAAAAATACAACCGACTTATAGGCGGATCGACTTATAAGCGAGTATATACGGTAATGTTTTTTCTTACCTGTCTGATGAACACAACAAAGGTTACAAAGGTGATTGGTAGAATACAGGTATACAGGTGTCAAAACTCTCCATTGATGACTAGACTGCATGCCGCATTGTATGTTGTGAATGATTGATCTTTTACAGGGGAAACTACTCCTGAAATCAGAGAAATTGTCAAAATGAGAGTTATCTGCTCCTCTTCAGTTCACATACAAGGAAATAATTTCACTATATATAACATGTATTATACAGCTTGAATTAAATGAATTAATTAAATAGACCCTGAAAATAATTACCGGGTAATGAGAGAGAAAATAAGGATTAATGCTTAAACAAAAATTTAAGCTAAGACCAGAAGTCTCTGTCGAGACTGTAGCTCTACTGGTTTGTACTTATAACGAAGGATGAGAAAAGAAGCCATTGCCATCAGACTAAAACTGTAGAAGGAGTACCGTTTTAAAGAAATTTCACAGGCATTTCTATTTTTAGTAACCATGGCATCAATGTTCATCAAAATCAAAAACGGATGCACTGTTTCATGTATCTTAGTGAATTAAGTCTACTTGTGTGCCTAGTAATTTTGAAATAATACCAAAACTGTAGAAGGAGAAGCATTTTAAAGGAATTTCACAGAAAATTCTATATTTAGTAACCATGGCAACACAGTTCATCAAAATCAAAAACCGATGCACTATTCTATGTATCTTAGTGAAGTCTACTTGTGTGCCAAGTTATATTGAAATCAGATCAAAACTGTAGAAGCTTTGACCATTCTGTTCTTTACCAGATTTCCCCCTTGTAGTACATAATGCATCCCCACCCTACCCCACTGATCATAATTAAGACATTTTGAAATCTACACTACCCCAGGATCCTTCCATTTGCAATTCAGTTTCAGCTTTTCTGGCCCAGTGGTTCTTGAGAAGAAGATTTTTCAAAGATTTTTCCTATAAATTTCTATGTCAAACTTTGATTACCAATTGTGGACTCGTCCTTCCCCCGGGGGTCATGATTTGAACAATTTAGAATCTACTCTACCCCAGGATGCTTCCACATAAGTTTCAGCTTTTCTGGCCCAGTGGTTCTTGAGAAGATTTTCAAAGATTCTATGTAAAATTTTGATTACCAATTTTGGCCCCTCCTTTCCCCCAGGGGTCATGATTTTTACAATTTGGAATCTACACTACAATAGAAAGCTACCACATCAGTTTCAGCTTTTCTGGCCCAGTGGTTCTTGAGAAGAAGATTTTCAAAGATTTTTCCTATATATTTTTATGTAAAACTTTGATTCCCTATTGTTAGTTTGTTACCACGCCCTACCCCCGGGGGTCATGATTTTTACAGTTTAGAATCTACACTACCCCAGGAGGCTTCCACATAAGTTTCAGCTTTTCTGGTTTTTGAGAAGAAGATTTTCAAAGATTTTTCCTATATATTTCTATGTAAAATTTTGATTCCCCATTGTGGCCCCGCCCTTCCCCCAGGGGTCATGATTTCAACAATTTAGAATCTACACTTTACCAGGATGCTTCCACATAAGTTTCAGTTTTTCTGGCCCAGTGGTTCATGAGAAGAAGATTTTCAAAGATTTTTCCAATACATTTCAATGTTAAACTTTGATTCCCCATTGTGACCCTGGCTTTCCCCCAGGGGTCATGATTTGAACAATTTAGAATCTACACTATACTAGGATGCTTCCACTTACATTTCAGTTTTTCTGACCCAGTGGTTCTTGAGAAGAAGATTTCTTAATGACCCCACCCTATTTTTGTCTTTTCTTGATTATCTCCCCTTGTGAGGGGACTTGGCCCTTTATTTTAAGAATTTAAATTCCCCTTCACCCAAGGATGCTTTGTACCAAGTTTGCCAAAATTTATTCAGTGGTTCTTGAGAAGAAGTCGAAAATGTGAAGTTTACAGATGGACAGCAGACGGTCAAAGACAGACGGACGGATGACAGACAAAATGTAATCAGAAAAGCTCACTTGAGCCTTCAGCTCAGGTGAGCTAAAAATTGTAAATTTTTCCATCGAAATTGATCTTTAAAGCGCGCATCATATTTTGAAATATTCTCATAGGTCAGAAGAATATAGGGACCACCAGCCTAGTCCAATTTCTTGTTCCCAAAAGAAGACTAAGTAAAGAAGAGTTTCAGGACATTGTTTGGCCACAGAAAAATGGAATGTTTGCAGCTATAGATGCCTAGTGAAGAGCCGAGGCAGTGAGATGAAGATTATACGATTCAGGCATATCCCTGGAATTTATACAAAGTACTTCACCAAGAAAAGACTGCTAAATTGTGGAACAATGCATTTTAAGAACACTCACATAAGTTTCCAGACTGTGATGGTCTACTCAACTGAAATCAGCATGGGGAGGAAAAACGAGGCCTGGCATGGATCCTTTCCATCAGATGTAAGAAGTGCAACTATACAAGTCTCTGAGAAAAGCTTTACAAAGAGGTGAGGAGATCTGGCAGGGGATGAAGAGCTACACAGCTGAATAAGGCCATGGATGTCGGTCGCTTGGGTACCAGTCTTACAACAGAGGGTATGCCCGGCATGCTTCTTGATGCAAATATTGAACCAGCATCAGCCACAAACATGCAACAGACCTACAACAAAGTGGGTAAAATTATCGCCAATGTAATATGAAGAAAATATAAGGCAAAACCTTCAAGAATTCAATGAAAAATGTGGACTACTTGATATCCTTCCCCCATCAGAGCGTAAGGATATGCTTGGTACATTAATGCCACCTTCAGTGCCTTTGGATAAACCCAATTTCAAGCTGCATTGTGACTTCAAGTGACTTGTACCATATGTGAAAATGTAACTCATAGGAAAAATGTTGTGGAAGTGTTCTGTGGGAATACACTATGCAAGAAAGGCACACACCTACGAGGCAAAGGAGAGAAAGTTGCCTGCCCAGGACACGTAGACTGTACTGCAACCATTCCTCTGGAAACCACCATTGGAGATGAGAAGAGATGGGCCGCTTATTGTGTTGTTGATGACCGTCCACTAGTCATACACTGTATCCCATTTCACAGACAGTGCCACTGCATATGAAAAACAAGGACACATCATTGAAAACCTTAAAGACTTGCTAAGGCTCCACTTAGCAGTCACACGTTTCTGGGGAGAACCCAAGCCTTAAGAGAATCCATGCAGGGAAGATTTGCCTCGGACCTGAAGCTTCGATGCAGGACAGAGTACAAGAACTGCTACGAACACTGCTCTGGAGACTTACCTTTGATGAAGCTGGCTATTTCTACTGTGGTTGGTTCCATCATAAGCTGGTGCCAGGGACAGTGTAGAAATAAGTCCTGTCAACTTTATTCCTTTTACAGTCGTGGACTGAAAAGCAATAAGTAGATATCTTCAGTGTTGCCTAGTGACTTTGAATTAAACATTACAGAAGAAGACAAATTTTGTTTAATTTAAAGACTGCACAAATTTGATTTTTGAACCAATTTAGTAATCTTAATAGAATTAAATATCATACTTGTACACAAAAATCTGAATCTGAATCATATTTAAAATCAAATCCAAAATGTATTACAAGGAGTAGAAATTTGAAAGTAGAACACTGTAAACCAACTTTTATTTGCGACGACTTTATTTCGTAATTTAGCAGGGGTAAACTAGTTTGCAATGATTAATTTTTGCAATCAAGCCTTTTTGAATCTGTTATTCATATTAAACACATAACACCTTAAATATTGGCGATGACAAGGCTCTCGCAAACTTCGCGAAAATTTCTCGCATACGAATAAAAGTTGGGTTACAGTATACATGTACATAAAGTTGTGCACTCACTGAAAAGTCATGGAAACTCAACACTGTAACTTCGAGAATCTGAAGGGGCACCTGTTGTATAAAGATGTAGAGTGGTCTATCATCTAAAATAAGTGCCACGCCACAGCATGATACGCCCGTCAAAAAATTACAATTATCTTAAACAATTAAAAGTGCAAGAAAATCATGTCAACCTTGATTTTAAGATTTCCATTTTATCCATCTCCTGTGGGTTAGGCATTAATTATAACATATACTGCATCATTCATAGATTTCTATACTGGTTGTGTTAGACCTTGCCAAATGCCTATCATATTAAACAATATCAAATTAGTCTTAACAACTTAATCTATACCTAATTAATTTTGAAAATAAAAGGCTGGCCATCAAATATAAACTGACCAACAGTTCTTCTGTCTAATTCCCAAAGGATGCACTGTCAGTTAATTAAGATAATGCTCTGAAGAAATGATTGAGACAACTATAGCCTTGCTACACGAACACATTAATTAATCTTTAACTGGATGCTTGTCTACTCATTACTCCCAAGAGATTATTGGATCTGCACTATCTACCATAAAGCATTTTTAAAACATATAAAACCTCAATGATTTTTTTGTTAGATTTAATGGCAGACAGGTTTTAATATGCAATTCATATGGACATGCTGATTCCACCCCAACCCCATAAAATTATTTTTTTAAAGTTCATAATATTATGTAATATCAAAATAGTTTATTATGCAAAATCAAATTAGTTTTATTTATTTCTCATCAAATTCATTTTAAAACTTATGCTAGCCAACAAGAGCTATTTTTAATCCAACAGGATTACCCATTTGACCCAATACTCAAGGGATATAGATAGCATCGATGCTCTTCCTCACACTAAACTCATTAATTTCTCTAATTTGACATGCAATTTTCTGTTATCAAAATTCTTCTTGACCAGTGCTTGATAATTAAACTCATGGGAGTGGTGGGATTTCTTTAACATACATTACATTTGTTATAGATTGCTGTCAAGTATATGCTTAAAAAATAAGTATTTTCTTGATTTAACATTTTTCTAATAAGAATAGTGCAATACTTTTACATTTTTTGGAGTGTGTAAATGAAGAGAAAACAAGACATTTCTTTTTTTAATTTCACTTAAATTAAAGGTCACAGTGACCTTGAAATAGGTCGGGACACACCCTCTACCTAAGATGCATGAAGTGGCCAAGTTTGATTATTCTAAGTCTAATAGTTTTCTAGTTATGGACCGGACAGGATTTTTCCATATTTGGCTATAACTTTTTAATTATAGGTCAGAGCGACCTACTTTTTGTGCACGACACACCTTCTACCCAAGATGTATCAGCTGACAAAGTTTGATAACTCTAGGCCTTATAGTATTCAAGTTATGAGCCGGACACGAGAAAAGCTAACAGACGGACAGACAGACGGACATGAAGCCTATAACATAATACGTCCCGTCTTAGACGGGCGTATAACAACACAAGAGGCCCAAGGGCCACATCGCTCACCTGAGCACATCTACTAGGAAAAAGCACATATCAGATAAAAACTGAAAGTTTACTGGAGGGGGGGGGGGGGGGCTTTAATTTTAACCCACCTGGGTGTCATGATTTGAACAATGTAGAAACTACACAACCTGAGGATGATTCCAAATAAATAGAAAAATAACACTAATCATGGCTTGGAAGTACTTGAAAAGAAGATTTTAAAAGGTTTCCCTATATATCCTTATGTGCAACTTTGGTCAGCCATTTTGGGCCCAAAACTAGCCCCAGAGGTCATGATTTGAACAAGCTTGAATCTTCACTCACTGAGGATGATTCCACATAAGTTTCGTCTTTCCTGGCCCAAAGGTTATTGAGAAGAAGATTTTTAAAGTTTTTCCTATATATTCCTATATAAAACTTTGGTCAGTCATTTTGGCCCCATCCTAGCCCCAGGGGTCATGATTTAAACAAACTTAAATCTACAAGACCTGAGGATGATTCCACATGAGTTTCATCTTTTCTGGCATAGTGGTTCTTGAGAAGAAGATTTTTAAAGAATTTTTCTATATATTTCAATGTAAAACTTTGGTCAGCCATTTTGGCCCCACCCTAGCCCCAGGGGTCATGATTTGAACAAACTTGAATCTACACTACCTGAGGATAATTTCATTTAATAAGTTTCATATTTCATTTCTCAATGATTTTTAAGAAGATTTTTAAAAGATGTTTCCTATATATTCCTATGTAAAACTTTGGTCGGCCATTTTGGCCCCACCCTAGCCCCAGGGGTCATGATTTGAGCAATGTAGAATCCACACTACCTGAGGATGATTCCACATGAGTTTCATCTTTCCTGGCCCAGTGGTTCTTAAGAAGAAGATTTTAAAAGATTTGTTCTATGCATTTCTATGTAACTTTGGTGGCCATTTTGGCCCCACCCTACCCGGGGGTCATGATTGGAACAAACTTGAATCTACACTACCTGAGGATGATTCCACATGAGTTTCATTTTTCCAATTCCAGTGGTTCTTGAGAAGAAGATTTTTAAAAGATTTTTCCTATATATTCCTATGTAAAACTTTGTCATTTTGGCCCCAACCTAGTCGGGGGTCATTTTATTTGTCAAACTTGAATCTACACTACCTGAGGATGATTCCACATGAGTTTCATCTTTCCTGGCCCAGTGGTTCTTAAGAAGAAGATTTTTAAAGATTTTTCCTATATATTCCTATGTAAAACTTTACCGGCCATTTTGGCCCCACCCTAGCCCCGGGGGTCATGATTTGAACAAACTTGAATCTACACTACCTGAGGATGATTCCACATGAGTTTCATCTTTCCTGGCCCAGTGGTTCTTGAGAAGAAAAAAGATTGTTTTATATATTCCTATGTAAAACTTTTCGGCCAAAACCCTAGCCCCGGGGGTCATGATTTGAACAAACTTGAATCTACACTACCTGAGGATGATTCCACATGAGTTTCATCTTTCCTGGCCTAGTGGTTCTTGAGAAGAAGATTTTTTAAAAATGCTATTAATTTTTCACTATATAATTATCCCATTGGAAGAGGGCGTGGCCCTTCCCTTGAACAATCTTGAATCCCCTTTACCCAAGGATACTTTGTGCCAAGTTTGGTTGAAATTGGCCCAGTGGTTCTTGAGAAGAAGATGAAAATGTGAAAAGTTTACAACGCCAACAACGACGACAACGACAACGCCAACGACAGACGACGGACAAATTTTGATCAGAAAAGTTCACTTGAGCCTTCGGCTCAGGTGAGCTAAAAATTGGCAAAATTGCTTAAGAAAAAAACAAAAACTGTTAAAATTTAAAGCTCAAAGAAAATAAATTAGATCTAAGATATCAGCTGTACAATAAAAAAATTCTAAAACCAGTGTTGCATTAGACTGTGAAAGGGAGGGGGGGGGGATATTGATGCTGTGAATATTTTCACATATTTTGTGAATTGTATAACTGTACAGAATAATAAATACTGTTCCTATGTTTTATTATGCACAGATTCTTTTCAACTGTGTAAATAGAGAAAACGTGGACATGTAAATAATGTATCATTGTATGTGTAAACTAGCAACGAGCTCACTAAATGCCTCCCATATGATTATAATGACAAAGTCCCTGTGTTGTACTTGCAATTGTGACCAGAAATAAGTGTCAGATCAAAAAGTAAAATAGGTGGTTCACATTATGTAATAAAGAATTTGTGGAAGCATCATTAAATTTTATTCAGTGGTATAGGATGAGTTGCAGATAAAAGATGGGTACCCTTCAATATTTTAGAGAAAATTGCAGTGTCAATGCTGTGCTCTGAAAAACCCAAAATATTTGATCCGATCAAAAAGTGGAGTGGGTCACAATGGCACTCACTAATAACAAAGATTCTGTGGGAGTCTCATTCAATTTCATTCAGTGGTAAAAGAGGAAGAGAGGAAAATGTACCCCAAAGCATAACAGACAGACATCCCGATTGCTATCTATCCTCCGGGCCTACTTTTCAAGTGGGGGGTATTATAATGTATCACTCTATCTGTAAAATGTGACATTTTCTTATACAAGAGAGTCTGAACATATAAAAATGTTATAACATTTTTTTATTATTTATCTCATTAAAATCATTATATTTCCATTCCTATTTTTTTCTCTGCGATAACTCTTTGAAAGTTGTCGGAGTTTATTTCTTGATATTTCTGCCGTAATGTAAATTAGGCAGGTCGATAGGTCAGGAGCTAAGGAGGCCTAAAATGCATGCGAATCTCGTGCGCATCTGTCTCTGTGTCTGACACTAAGGTGGCAAAATGTGCATGTGAATCTTGTGCGGCTGCCTAGGTGTTTGACGTCATTGGGCGAGGACTATTGAAATTGGCATGGAAGTCCTCGTGTAATTTAAGTCTATGTCTACATTTTTAAAGTCTAAATCTACCATTTTATTTCACAATGAAATGAAAATATAAGGAATCACTGCCTAGTTAGGAGAGTATGCCAGGGACATCAACAATAGTGGGAAACATGGGATAATTTTAGCGTTAACGGGCTTCGCCCATTATGCAAATTATCCCATGTTTCCCACTATTGTTGATGCCCTGGCATACTCTCCTAACTAGACAGTGATACCTTAATTAATTAAATAATCATTTTTCTTACCTGTATGATGAAAACAACAAAGGTTACAAAGGTGATTGGTAGGAATACGGGTATAATACAGGTGTTGAAAGTCTCTGTTGATGATCTGACTGCATGCTGCATTGTAGATCTGCCATTAGTGATCTTTAACAGGGAGGAATACTCCTGAAATCAGAGAAATTGTAGTCAAAATGAGAGTAATCTGCTTTTCTTTTGGTCTCACACAAGGAAATGATTTCGCTATAAATTAATTTATAGCTTTAATTAATTTAATAACTAGACTTTAAGTAGATAATTCATGAAAAAGAAAATAAAAGATTAATCTTTAAACAAAAATTTGAAATCACAATTTAAAAATAAACCTTAATTATGCTGCTTTGCAGAAAGACAACTGACAGTAAAAAAGATACCCGTGGGTTTCACATGTTGACAAACAGCCTACACACCATCCAGGAAGCTGCTTCCTGCAAAAAAAAAAAGTTCCCTTTAATTCAGTGGGGTAATTCTGCTAAAGATATGAAATTCCTAGTATGAGTCTAAATTAATACTGTAGGCCTCAAAAAAGATGCCAAAAATGAAAAAGGATAAAAATAGTCAGGTATATAATTACAATTGACGAAGTTAATTTTGATTGGCTGTTTCCTTGCATTATATATTTATAGCCATAAGAAGGGTGTCAGTACAGATCACATTATGCTGGAATGAACACCTGTATCTTATGCACTGTCAAACACTATGGCTGTTATCTAGTAACTTTTCCCTTAAAAATGCAGTACCTTTGGCACTTATTTTGGACATTATTGGTTCTAATGGCTTCTGTCCTCAGGATTGTAGTACTTTCAGGACATCACAAGGGTTTGGGGTCCCTCCAGGATCTAAAATATATTCTTCTTTCTTATAATTCATGAAATGATGCATTACTGCATATGCTGAAGTTTTAGCAGGGTCCTATATTAAAGCAATATGAGCTGCATTTTCGAAATTTTTATTTTGCTGTTAAAATGTTTTATTGTGATAAAATTGTATGTAATTTTAACCTTTTTGATCAATTAGACTAAAATAAAGAATTAAATTGCTTCAGAAGAAAGACTGTTATACAATCCAATATACAGTATTATATAAGAAATCATTATTGTACAGGACAATAATAATGTAATTTTGATTCAGTCAAGGCTTATAAATAGTTCTTACATCGCAAATATGAACAACATAAGTTTTTAAACATTCTTTTTTCTGTCATTGAAATAGTTATTTACAAAATTGCAACACAAAAATGCGACATCAAAGTTGCAGCTCATATTGCTTTAATATATATACATGCAGTAGCAATATTTAAGATTGGAGCTTTGGTATTACTTTTAAAGTTGAGATAGCTAAATTTGAACATAACAATACATTCCACTTACAAGTTACATAACTATTGTACATCTAGGCATCAATAAATTGATAAAATTGCTTATTACAATTTAATCATACAACTTGATTGACTGCCTTTAACTTTACAGAAAAAGTCAATTTGCAATATCAATTTAACTGCATAAAACTTCATGTATACCTTGAAACTTGAACATTTCAGTTCTAAGTATTCAGAACTTCCTTATAATTAGCAGTTTTACAGACACATACCGGCAATAACTGGATATGGCTTAATCTTCTTCGGCAGGGGATGCTCACTCCTCCATGGCACCTGATCCCATCTCTGATGTTTTGGAGGTCCATGTTTGCTCTGCTCCTGATTTGTATTGTGTACCTGGATCGACTTTTTGAACTTGAATACTGTTCATTATCTCCATGTCTAATATAGTCTGTTTTCTTTGCCTTTTCTTACACAGTATAGTACGTGGTGTTATGTCTTTAGACAAATAATGCACTGAACATAATATAATCTGACCCATCCAAGATTCATTCCAAATTAGTTTCAATTTCAATGACTTTAACTGTAAAACAATAAAAAAAAAATCCATGAAAATAGTTAAGTTTTTGATGAAAAAAAAAATAATGTAGTAACTGTCTTGAACCTGAATAGCAAAACAATCTATAAAAATTAGTTCCAATTTAATGAGAAAATAAATCATTATTACTGCTTTGAACCTAGAAAAAAAATAAAATTTACGAAAATTAGTCCCAATTTTTAAGAGAAAATACATGTATGTTATATTGTATGGAACCTGAAAAACAAAAGACACGATCTATGAAAATAAGTTCAAACATGTATGAGAGAATACATAAGTTATCTGTCATGAAGCTGAAAAACAAAACACACAATCTGTAAAAATTAGTTCCAATTTTTAAGAGAAAATACATTGTACATGTGTTACTGTCTTAAACCTAAAAACAAAACACAAGGAATTATAGGTCTAATTTGTAGGAGAAAAAACATTAATTATTTGTCTTGAACCTGAAAAACAAAAACACAATCAATGCAAATTAGTTCCAAAACTTTAAGAATTAAATACATTGATTAAGTGTCTTTTAACCTGAAAAAAATCTAAGAAAATAAGTTCTAATTGCAAAGAAGAAATACATTAGTGACTGTCTTGAAGTCTTGAGATCCAAAACACAAAATTTAAGTTCCAAATCTGATGAAAAAATAAATAATAATTTTTGTCTTGAACCTGTAAGACAAAAACATCATCTTTGAAAATTTGTTCCAAAATTGAAAAAGAATTATCTGTCTTCAACCTGAAAACAACAAAAATTACAATCTATGGAAAACAAGTTCTGATTTCTATTAGCAAAACATTAATTACTGTCTTGAACCTAAAAAACAAAACACATAATTTATGCAAATTAGTTCCTTCCATTTTCTATGAGAAAATACATAATCTGTGTTGAAGCTGAAAAACAAAATCTTAGAAAATTTATAGTTCCTACTTCTATGAGAAAATACATTAATCAACAGTTACTGTCTTTAACCTGAAAAACAAAACAAAAAAATCTATGAAAGTTAATTTCTTAGATTAAGTACATTAATTACTGTCTTGAATCTGGAAAACAAAGAACAAAATCTATGAAAATTTAAGTTCCAATTTCTAAGGATTCAATACCCTGGTAAAGTAGTTACTGTCTCCAGAACCTGAAAAACAAAATGGAGGATCTTTGAAAAATATGTTCCAAATTCAATGAGGAAATACATAAATTTCTGTATGGCATCTGAAAAAAAAATTGTGCAAATTAGTTCCATGCAATTCCTATGAGAAAATACAATAATTGAGGTCTTGAACCTGAAAAACAAAACAAACAACAATAATCAGTCTTGGACCTTAAGAGCAAAACAAACTACAATAATTAGTCTTGAACCTGAAAAAACAAAACATACATGTACTACAAAAATAAGTCTTGAACCTGAAAAACGAAACAATCAGCAATAATCAGTCTTGAACCTGAAAAACAAAACAAACAACAATAATTAGTCTTGAACCCAAAATTTTTTTTTAAAAAAATACACGTGTAATTAGTCTTGAACCTGAAAAACAAAACAAATTAAAAGACTTGTCTTGAACATGTTGAACCTGAAAAAACTAAAAAAGAAATTATCAATACTTTTTTTTTTTTTTATTTTTGTTTTTTTTTTTTTTTTTTTTTTTTTTTTTATTTTTTTTTTTTTTTTTTTTTTTTTTTTTTTTTTTTTTTTGTATTTTTTGATTTTTTTTGTATTTTTATAAATAAACATGCAAGTATTCATAACTATATAAACAACTAACTAGATAATGCACAGACAGACAGGTGGGATGAGACTGACGGGGTGTCCACAAAAAAAGGGGGGAGGGGATATCATAACTTCTAACAAGACAGCTCTAGATGCTATAAACCACCTGCTTCTTTATACTTTACAGGATAAATGAAACTATATGATGGAGGAGTGGAATGATGGGAAAAAAAGATGTGCAATATACAATACGAAAGGATATATGCTTCTGCATTGCCTGATATTCAAAAACGACTAGATGGAATAGTCACATGCGATAAGACATATAAATGAGAAATTCCACAAAATACAAGATACGCGCACGATACAATAGGATACACACAATACGATACCGATAGCTTAAATACACGAAATGATAGGATACACGCAATACGTGAAGACTTGCAAATAAAGAAGCAGGTGCTGTTTATGTAAAAATTGCCTCTGTATATAATGCTCTTCAGAGCATTATGTATAAACTCTGTCCTTCATGGTGGTAACAAATAACTCAAGTGCATATCGTATGCAGCAAATGAAGCTTAATTAATGCATTTCTTTGTAAAACTTCATAGAACATAAACACAAGGATGCATAGACACAGGGTTTCTCATAAGAAACTATAACGGAAACTAACAGATGGAATCAAGGTCACTGTGGCTGATGACATCAGCAGTAGGTACCTGACTGATCAAGTACCCAGGTATGCTCAAGGCAGTAAAGATAACCTGTTTCCAGAAACAGGCACTGAATCATAGTAATATAGGTCAGAGCCAGAGACCAACAGACAATATCTAGGTCAATGTAGCTAATGACATCAACAGGAGGCATCAGACTTATCAAGTATTCTCAAACTGGTAAAGATAACCTGCTTCCATAAACAGGCACTGAAACTTAGAATAGGGGTCAGGGCCATATACTATATACTATAAATATACTATAAAGGTGAAAGGGGGCTGAAAACCAACTAAACATAGGAGGTAAGGGAATTTACTTAAAATAGGAAATAAATATGAAAAAAAAAACCAGACTACTATTATCCCACTATTGCAATGCCTATAATGGCGGTGTGTGCATGATTGATTCATTTAGACATTGCATTCATCAAATTACATCTAACCTTAACTTAATTATTAAATCAGTGATAGGCTATGCTGGGAAATATACTTTAAAGATGAAAGGGGCTGAATACCAACTAAACAGGGGAGGGAAGGGAATTTACTTATAACAGGAAATAAATATGAAAAAAAAACCATACTACTATTATCCCACGATTGCAATGCCTATAATGGCGGTGTGTGCATAACTGATTCATATAGACATTGCATTCATGAGATTACACCTAACCTTAACTTAAATAATAAATCAGTGATAGGCTATGTCGGGAAATATACTATAAAGATGAAAGGGGCTCAGAATACCAACTAAACAGGAGAGGGGAGAGAAATTACTTAAATCGTGCACTGAAACATGGACTAGATGTCCGGGCCAGAAATCATCGTCAATGCAGCTGATGACATCAGCAGTAGCACCTGACTGATCAGGTACATGTGTACTCAAAATGCTTAGGATAACCTGTTTGCATAACATAGACACTCTCAGAATATTTCGAACAACATGAATGATGCATCCATAGTGACACCATAATTATGCAAGTTTGAAATAGAACCCAAAAACATAATCAGCTAGTTCAGAGGGAGTAAATCATCATTAAATTTCAACAAAAAAAAACAAACAAACAAACAAACACAAAAAAACAAAAGGCATAATAACCAACTAAGCAGGATCAGAGGAGGGGAAAGGAATTCACTTAAAACAGGAAATACATATGAAAAAAAAACCTACACTACTATTATCCCACTACTGCAATGCCTATAATGGCGGTGTGTGCTTGATTGATTCATTTAGACATTACACCTAACCTTAACTTAATTAGTAAATCAGTGATAGGCTATGGCCAGGAAATATACTATAAAGATGAAAAGGGGCTGAATAACCAACTAAACAGGGGAGGGAAGGGAATTTACTTAAAACAGGAAATAAATATGAAAAAAAACCCTAGATACTAATATCCCACGATTGCAATGCCTATAATGGCGGTGTGTGCATGAGTGATTCATATAGACATTGCATTCATGAGATTACACCTAACCTTAACTTAATTATTAAATCAGTGATAGGCTATGCTGGGAAATATACTATAAAGATGATAGGGGGCTGAATACCAACTAAACAGGGCCGGGAAGGGAACCTAACACCTACATCTAACCTTAACCTAATAATAAATCGGTGATAGGCTATGGCCAGGAAATATACTATAAAGATGATAGGGGGCTGAATACAAACTAAACAGGGCAGGGAAGGGAACTTAACAACTACACCTAACCTTAACCTAATAATAAATCAGTGATAGGCTATGGCCGGGAAATATACTATAAAGATGATAGGGGGCTGAATACCAACTAAACAGGGCAGGGAAGGGAACCTAACACCTACATCTAACCTTAACCTAATAATAAATCAGTGAAAGCTATGGCCAGGAAATATACTATAAAGATGACAGGGGGCTGAATACCAACTAAACAGGGCAGGGAAGGGAACTTAACACCTACATCTAACCTTAACCTTATAATAAATCAGAGATAAGCTATGGCCAGGAAATATACTATGAAGATGATAGGGGGCTGAATACCAACTAAACAGGGAGGGAGGGGAATTTACTTAAAACAGGGAATAAATATGAAAACCTAGATACTAATATTCCATTATTGCAATGCCTATAATGGCGGTGTGTGCATGAGTGATTCATATAGACATTGCATTCATCAGATTACACCTAACCTTAATTATTAAATCAGTGATAGGCTATGGCTGGTAAATAATTACTATAAAGATGATAGGGGGCTGAATACCAACTAAACAGGGCAGGGAAGGGAACCTAAAACCTACATCTAACCTTAACCTAATAATAAATCAGTGAAGGCTATGGCCGGGAAATA